GGAATTACTGAATTATCGAACTTAAAGATTCCTGGACTATAAATTGGGCGGAATCCAAACTCGAAGCTCATAACTTGGATGAGAAGTTATCGGAAAGCTAATTCTGACTTAGCCAAAATCCCAGCGCCTCTTCAGCTGCGAGCAAATGTTTATATGGGTGTTAGCCCGTGGGTGTATTGTAGAGCGGGTGCGCTCTTGGTACTCACAGTTATATTCGATCTGGCGCAATGCTAATGATAGCGTGCTATAAGCTGACGCGGCCCCGGTTTTCTTACGACCTCGGTCATGACTACCAGTCGATCGGACGTACCATATATGATCCGGGATGCATGTTCCGCAGATGGATAGTTCCGACGTTTAAGCATCCGAGGGCACGTACGTCTTCAATGCATGAAGCATGACATGCAGCCGCGCCGCAATTAACGAGCTGAGCCTAGCCCTGAGGCTCGAACCTCGAGTCCGCCCGCTAACAACGAAGAACAATTTTGCCTCATCGAGCAAAGCTGATTGTCAACAAGTGAATTGGTGCATGGACGTAAACATGAATGCCAGTGTCTTTCTAAGCGCTCATATGATGCAACTCAGCACTGAACGGTCCATGCAACACAGAACTCAGTAGCGCGGGCCAGTAGCCTCCGAGTCAAGGACCGTGCGATGCTGACGGTTGACACTCGATTGTGCCTGGAACGGACTGAGAATTACGTGTATCTTCAATCCATGTCAAGGTGTGCTGTACAGTCCGTGCCTCAGAGGGCAGCTGAAGCTCTTTTATCATGGTACCTGCATAGGAACCGATGTAAGGACGACCAGCCAGCATTTCGTGTCTTAAAGTCCTTCCAGCCTGTCTTCACATAAGTGAGCGCGTGCGTCTTCCAAGTCCTTGAAGAGGCTTACTATCATGTAGGCTCTCCGTTCTCGGAGGACTGCCCCCACCGCAGGTAATACCACGGTAGCTGCGTGATCACGACAGCCGTGTTGAAAGTCCACAGCACAGACAGGACCTCTACCACTGCTACGAGAAACTTTGGAGCCTGGCTAGCTACGAAGGGGGCTAGCTCAGTCACCATGTCCCTTGCTCGGCCGATCTGGACGTTTCGGTACAGCGTAAAGAGAAGAACGACTAGGGGCCACAGGGCGGACTTGCGTGTGAGAAGCGACTGCTCGAAAACTGCAGGGGAAGGAAACGTGTCAGATCGGAGGCTACACTATGGAGGGACCGCTGCGGGCTTTGACACGATCAATTACAAGCGGAGTCATCAAGGCCAGACAATTCCAACCCACCAGACGCCATCCAAGCTATGAGGGGCATCAGATGGAACTCGGGTATCTTCTGCTGCATAAGATAGTATCGCACGGTTGAGCTTCTGACGGATCCGCATGGATTTCATTGAGGGCAAGAAGTCACCAAGCAAGCCCTCTAGTACAAGAGCAACCTCAAATCCGACGAGTAAAGGCGGTTTGGCTGGGTTGGTTTTATACTTGGGATTTCACCTACCTGTTTGCAGCGCTAGCACGAAGAGGTAAGGTAGTAGGAGCGCGAGGCCCCAGTTGGCCGCCCCGATCAGGTAGCTGGCACCGAGTGCAATGCTTGGTAGCATAAATCCGACCACCAGGGTTAGCCTAACCCACAGCTGGAAGCCCGCAGGATGACCGTCGGAGAGCCAGGGTTTAGTCCAGGGAGACTCCCCGCCTGAGAGAGAAGGGCGGGCAGAGTGTGAGGTTGAGGTGATCGAGAAGGTCATTGACAAGCTGATTGAAGAAAAGCAGGGCCGTGCCTATGGCGCGGCTTGTACTTCGACCAAAGCTGGGGTTGATCCAAATGACGACCAGCTATTCAATAGCCGGTTCGGCGGACCCAGGAGAAAAGCACAGCATTAGTCCGGAATCCCAAGCGCCTCCAATCTCTCTTGGAAACGTTTTTAAAAGAAAGTGCCTCAACGTCCCTGTTCTAGCCAAAGCTTCTGCACCGGCACCAAAACACTTAGCCGTGAAAACTTGTTAATCTAGACTTCAGTTGCGAATTTCGAGCACACTGCGAGCCTTTCTTTTGATGTTGCCCTCTGGGCATCACCAATTCAGAAAGGGCGACCGTCTTACGGATGGATGACCCCAAATGCTTCCGACTCCGCTGTTGAAATACATGCTATTCTGCCATATCGTTACTATGCCTCATCTTGTCTCGCCTCGTCCAACGGGATCAGAAGGTCTCTAATCTTCAGTCGACAGCACACCAGGTGGAATCCACCTCTTTCGAATCATCGGCAGGAAAATTATCAGACAATTTGCGGACAGAAGCTTGTTCAGACCTTCCTTTGTACAAGCACAGTACTCCGCTGACCTGGCAGCCAAAGGTGCGGCGCCCCCTTTCCCATCAGCGTGATCACGGCGTCCAGCAGCACCACCACGCCCACGTCTAGCGCCAGAAGCGCCGCTAACCCCACCGGATAAGCGGTAACCATTGCCTGGGAGATCAACGCAAAAAGATATAAGATAGAATCAACATTCAGGTGGGAGCAGGCAAAGACGCAGACTCGATTCCAGCACGGATCCAATACTTCGAGAGAACGCAGTCTTCTTTGATTGTGTGTAAATGAGAGTCACATTGGGCATGATGTGCTACTTCGGTTTTCCTGCATCCGTAGAACAACCGTAGCACAACCGTCAACCACCCAAGAGTTCCCCGGGCAAAGAAGCTGGCAGTTCATAGCTCCTAACCCACGTGGCCACAACTACGCAACCAGGTCTGGATCTCAAAATCAACACTCCGAGAAACGTTGAAGCAAGGTTTGGCCCACTCCTTACAAGCCAGACAGAAGGCACCCAGCAGGTCCCAGCCCTCAAAAAGATCGAAGCCACCAACCGACGTCACAAGACTCACCTGTAAAGCTAGAGTAACGGCAACCGGGTACAGGGCCCCCATGGGCGCCATTGCAAGTGGGGCGTAGAGCCAGCCGTAAGGGCGGGATCGCCGCTGCAGACTAAGGAGGTAGCGGCGAGCGGAGCGCACGAGCTCTAGTCCCACCAGAGGGTCTTGGACGAGTTGGTCGTACTTGGCCTGAGCAGTGGCGAGGTCTTTGGGGGTGGCGCGAAGTCGAGCAAAAAGGCCCTCTGCCTGCGGAGGCGATTACATTGAGGCGTCAGCAATTCTTAACGGGGCGAAATTCGGAGTCTGGGCATCCTGTGGGAAGTAGATGACAAACCTCTGTACAATTGACCTATCACGCAAGCTTGATTCTTCCAACTGCAGTTGAATCATGAATGGTCCGACAGGCCTGGTGAGTCAAGCATCCGGGTCGATTGTGGATTCGAGCACACCGGAATTTTGCAATGAACACCTGTCCCGTTCAAATGTTCTCAAAGCCTTTTAGAAACTATTCCATCAATTCATCAATTTCAAGCTGTCACCTGACTTGTAGACTAGTTGATGTTGCTGACTTGGGCAAGTGGTCAACATCCGAAGAGCTCGCAACCCACATGTCTGTGCGAGTCTGTGCAACCATTGGTCTTTGAGTTTCTTCAAACAAGATGTGATTGCCTCATGCGGTCCCTTTTGTCTACAGCAGATTATGTTTGGAGTCCCCCACGAAGAGCATCAATTGTACAGAAGCTACAGAAACTCTCTCACCTCTCCTAAGGTTGGGGACGGTGCCGGTGCCGTATCCGGAACAGGCACCGTCTCATCTTGGAAAGCTTCTCCTCCAGCTTCCTGGTTGGCTGCCACATCCTTTTCTTCTTCACTTTCTTCTGGGGCGCTTTCCCGACTGCCGTCTTGTCGCCGAGGTGACCTCAGCGGGTTCTGACTGGTCCCCACTTTGCCAATCATCACAATTTTGCGTCCGTCCTTCTCAATCACTTTCATGTCCCGAATGCGTTTCTGGGGCATCGGAGGGCCCTGATAAGCACACAGCAGAAGGTGGTGGCGTTAGCGGCAGCTGGTGTTGTTGCAAGGAACGCTCAACACCTTTCAACATCTTGACCAAGAATGGTCGTTAAAATGCACCACCACCTCATCAGCAGACGGCTGGAACTAGAACGGAAACGAGGTGTCCATAGAAGAGGGCATAAAAAACATCAGCAGTTCTGCAGCAAGCAATGGCAGACTCTACAGACTGCCTCTCAAGACATTTTATTTCTTTATCCATCAAACTCAGGCTCCTCCAAAAACTGATGAGCTGCCTACAATCTCCCACCTTTGTATTGTTCTTTGCACCCGCACCTTGTCCGTTTCTTGTGCCAAGAGGCTGATAGCTGCGCGTAGCATCTTTTGGCGTTTCGGTGCTGGGGGCGGGCAACTCCCCATCGAGGTCTAAGCTGCTGTCGTGTGAAGATGCTGGTGACTCCTTTCCCCGAAACAAACTGAACGGATTCCACCACTTTTTGTCATCTGATGTCTCTTCTACTTCCCCAGCACCATCGTCTGTGGCCTGAACGCGAATCGACTTTCGCCGGTCCAACGCTCGCTTTGGGTGCCCATCTCCTATTCTTCTGCTTGGTGGTGGTCTGATAAGTGCGCGTTGAAAGAAGTTTCTGTGACCAGGAACACCCAAGTTTCTGCTTCTTGCTTTCCTTTCCCCTCTAAAAAGTTGCGCATTTACGATATCTTGTCGCAAACAGCATTCCCTTTGGTGGTGCGCCACGGGAGGTACTGATCCTAGATTGGAGCACTTTCGCCGGTGCTCTCCAAAATGAATTGAATTGCTGATACCAAGGGCTGGTTCGCACATGCGAAAGGATAGCGAGGTGGCGGCCATGCCTTACGAATCGAATCACCAGAAGGAATTCTTAGCTGAGTCCTTACGCCATATTCGCAGACTGTTGTGACGTCCTGATGCTCGAGCCCCGGCTTGGACGCGTGTTCAACTTTCCTTTTGCTCTTCGAACTTGAAGTTTGAGATAGTGAAAATGAGAAAGATAGCAAAACCAAGACTTCAGCATCGAAGCTGCATGAGGCTTGGTCAAACAGTAAACCCGTTTTCCGACGTAGACTGTTTCATTCCTCTTTCGAGTTGGTCAGGTTTAGCCCTGTAAATTGTAATCCCTTTCCCGCCTTTTCAATACGAGTGTTCAGAGTCAAAACCCAGACGGGCTGTGGCAGGAAAAGAGCGCTCTGTCCTGTTCAGCTTGTTGCATTGCTTGTCTGTGAAAGAGGGCCCTGTGGCTAAGGAGCCGAATGTAGGATCCCTGCCACATCTGCTAGTGTTCACCAGGTTGACAGAGCTGTTGACAGTGTGAGTGGCACCAAGCTCCACTCCCGCTCCACTGCCAGTGAAGTCAGTGGTGCCAAGTAGTTGGATTACTAAAAAGGATCGCCGGTGGGCTGCCAGTCCTCTTGATGCTGAGTGATATCCTGGAACAGACAAGGTGCCTGCCGTTCACTGTAGGACTGACAGGAACAGGACAATTATACAAGGGGGCCCGACGTTCTACGCACAATCACCAACTCAGGAGGTCAGCAATTTTGCCTCTTTTCATTTCCATTTTCGTCTTCTACACTCTTCTGACTGCTTGTTTTGGAAGCCTGCATTGTCTGGCTACTGATACTGGTGATTGGTATGCTAAAGCCAGTGTTCCCTGCATCCTCGGTCTGCGATGCCTTGTCTTGCGTCAATCAGAAGACACAGCCAGCTCAAGGTCCTCTGCATCCGTGGTGATACTGACTGCCCGCACTCAGAGATCACAGTTGCTAGAGTACTGTGGGGGATTCTCACATTGCTGGGTTGCCGTCCCGGCCATACTCTCATTTTGGGAGTTCTGTTTTACCTAGTTTCTCCCTTTCACTTACCACCTCCTTCCTCTCTTCTAAAATCACCGCACATGCATTTCACTTGCCAAAACAGAATTTCTGCTCTAGCGGCCCCCAATGTACCCACTGTGCCAATGGTGGTCAACATTGCAACATCAGGCTCAATCCAAGGAAATCCTGTCACAGGAATCAAGGCGCACCTGCTTGGCTTGCTTGATTCAAGAACAAGATCCTAAAGGAAAATAAAGTCAAAGATGCTCTTCAAACAGGTACACCTGTACTTGGCACTCAAGGCACTGGATGGTTAGGGTGAAGCTTGAGCAGCTTCACTTTTAGTGCTTAGATCAAGTGTTTTGGAGGAAGTTAAACACAACACCAACGAACGGGAGAACAATCAGCGTACTGATGACCAGAGAACAAAGAGTCTGTGTAACGGGACCTGACACTGAAAAACGTAGACGTGCAAGACCCTATATCAAGTGGAGTCTAAGAATCGTCTGTCTCCTGCTGATTGGGTACCTATGAAGTTGGAATCTATGACGTTGTCCACAAGGGCCACATTGGCAGTAGCCAGTGTCAGTGAAGTCTACACTAAAGCTTTTCTTTGAGTGGATGGTTTTTCTCCTGTACAGAACTTGCGCGCATTGACAATCCTTGACAGAAGAAGGATTTCACCTAGCTTCCTAACATTGAGGTGTTGTCCGAGACAGATTTGCATTTACGCTGGATAATTCAACAATGTCTCCAGCAACCAGTATCTGATCGAATAAAAGGACGACCCTCAACAAACAGTTGTCACGGTGTTGATGTGAGGCAAATTCACTGAAACCAGTTGACTCGAAAATTGTGTTTGTACCTGCTGTTTTGGTACTTCTTGAAGAACACTTTCCTGGATGCAGGTACCCGAAGAATTGTCAAGGCCGATTGAAGTTCCATCAATGCGTCCAAGAGTGCTAGAAAGAACCTGAAGCACGAGGTTCACAAGGCCAATAGCGGCGGTGAGATTTATGTCATGATGAGTCAAACGGATTGATAGCTGAGAATACACATCACAAAGAGGAACAACTGGTCTAGATATCAACTCTGTTGAATATATTGCAACACTACTGCGCAATTACCACCATTTTGATCCTTGGGGCTGCTCTGCTCCAACTTGCTTGTTAAAGCAAGTTCCAACTCTTATTAGCCCCCTCCTCCTGATAAACGGCTTTCCCGGATAAGCTAACCCTTTGGAGGTCTCATCCGACCTTTGCCCGGTTTCGAGCAAGGACCCGTTGGCTACTGGAACATGGATCAGGTTGTAGAATTTTGCCCAGGGGGTGTTTGATCCCCCTGGTCTAGATGGCTTCTAAATCTGATTCGCTCTTTGAGAGTCCTAACGCAATTATGATCCCGCACCTATCTTTTTGAAGATCTTCAGATTAAGGGTACCTTCAACTTAAAGCGAACTCCCTGGTGCTCGATGAAGGGGATTGCTCAAAGTTCCAGGAGTCTGATATCTCGCGGCAACAGGAGCTGTGGCCGATTGGGAGCCTTGGCCCTAGCCAACTGCAAGCTCAGAATCTTCTGCATTCTTTCTTTGCAGTAAAGTCGATTGTAAATCGATTGTAGGTTCACAGTGGAGGGGGCGAAGGGCTCGACCATCTTGACCCTGGAGGCCGGGCTTGGACAATCACATTCGAAGGGCTCCAGACGGACACCTGGCGTACTCTCGAAATGGCCCAACTCTAATCGTAAAAACGACTATGTGCAGGTAGACTGGCCTGTAGGAATCGTCGAGCATGGCGGCTGAAGCGGACAATGGGAGCACTCTGGCTGAGGTTGCCCCAAATGACACTAGTCTCATTGGGAGCTACACAAAAGGAGGGCGAGAGAGGGTGCAACGACGTGCAGCAATTTCTGCTGGCCATAATTGGAAGCAACAAGAGCAGCTTTTGAAGGCAAGCGAAAGACAGAGACCTACTCAAGATTTCGATTTGACCAAATGTGTCCAATGGGTTGAGTTGACGTGATAGCTGATCAAATGTTCCTTCATAGCTTGCCACGTGAAGTCGACACATTGATTGGCAAAAAGATGGTTAAATGTATCTACCTGTGTGATGCTCTCCTAGTACTTTTCCCACTGGCATAGCAACCTAGAGTTCAAGGACTTGGCAAATGCACAAACTAAGAGATATGTTGCCCTTCTGTGGTGCAAATACCTGCTCGTCCAGCTATCTAAACAGCCTCCTTGAATTGGACATATGTTGCAGGATACCAAGCTTGCAGGAAAGCGTCGCGCGCCTTCCAACGCGGCTTCAAAACCTTCAAAAAGTCAAAAGGCCGCTGCTACAGAGTCTCCATGTGGAAGTGGTCCAATATCACATGAAGGCCTTCCTAACGGAGCTTCGAGCGGATCCCCAAGCTCAAAAGCAAGGGCGCTCAAAGGCAAGAAGAGAGCAGAACCGACTGGCAAAAATGTCTCCACCCGAGGCATGGACGAAGCAGAGGCCATTGCAACGGTGAAACAACGTATTGTGAAGTTTGGCAACCTCTATCTGGGCGCGGTGAAGGTGCGCGCACACTGCTTGACTTAGCAATTTTTGAAATGCAATTGGACAATTGAAAGTTCTACCTACGCATATGCTTGCTCCGTGAGCGATGATTGAAAAGTATCAGTCATATAAGGTCCCCGCCCCGTTTGTCAATAAATCTTGGGACAGGCTTCACACATGTGGAAGTTATTAGGGATCTCAAAAGCCTGCTTCTACCTCTTGAATTTTGAGCATCTTCTGACTATGTTTTAAGCCTTGCGTAGATGCATCTCGGCGGAGTGTTGCTTTGCATGAAGCGACTTGCTTAGCAAGGCCATAGCCAGCTTAGAATAGGGTCTCAGGTTCTTTCGATTTCTACAATCTAGCCAAAAGTTTTAGCTTTATCTGTGTGTTTCTTCAAGACGAATCCCCTTATCCGCCTGCTTTGGAAGCTTGGTGTAAAAATGTTTTTCCAGCGGCTGTTCAGGTTTACTAAGCGTTGATTGAAGCTATGGTTAGTTGCCTGCCTAACGTACATTTGGTCAAACGGTTTTCATTTCCATCGAACTTTTAACATATCGGAATTGTGGCAGTAGACAGAATTATGACGAGCTTTTTGTGGAGGCTATAGATCCAACTTCTTCCCATGTGTTGGCTTTGTTTCATCACTCTACCAGGCGACCTCTTCCGATGTGCTTGTGTTGATGGAGTGTCAATGCCCATTTTTCCTACACAAGAAACTCCATCCGAAGTTCGGAGCACTATCATTGATTGCTTTTGTCAGTTGCGTGTAGATCCTCCTATTTTGACAATATCGTTATCAGTTTCTGTGCTCCTTACTCTTCAGGTGCTTTCAAAGTTAACGGTTTATCCTTTGTCGACTGGATGAAGCATATGTGCAGATTGAACCCTCTCCACAGAAATGCATTAGCAGGCTTGTCAATAGAGTCAACACGACATCATCTAAATCATGTCGTGTTGACTCTCTCTCTCTCCAATCATAAACACGATGTTTGCCTTGATGATGTCGAACCTAGCTTGAGTCGGGTTGAAAAGCCTAACACTCTACGTAAATGTTTGACGAAATTGCAACAAGTTCCTCATCCTAAGCAACATTGGCTTCTTTAAGGGTACTCATGTACATACTTGATTTATGTGGACGATGTCATTCACTGGCTAAAGGCCACTCATCAAATTGCAGTCGGAGGAAATGCGCGTTGGAAAGCGCCTTGCCAACATCAAGACAGAAGGGCAAGAGAAGAAGCCCTCCAAACGGCCAGACCTTGTTGCACAGAGTCAGGTGAGGAGATTTGACATATCCAATAATACAAGTAGGCTGGGGGGCAATGGGCTCTAAGCAGGATTAGTAAAAGGATTAGTCGAAGCACCTAAAGTGGAAATGCTGAGACACCGCCCTTGCGTATGGTAGACCTCCCTTCCTATTCATTTGGACAAAGTTAGAGTGACAATAATGATTGTAGGTCGAAAATAACGATCTGACTTTTGAAAGTGACTTTGCCCTTGTCTGATCCGCTCGCTTGGCTTCTGAGTTTTCCGACCTTTCAAGCTCTTGAAGTTTCCACCTCTACATCCGACGACCTTCATGCAAGTCGAGGTCATGCCTATCAAGGCTTAATTCGAAGTTGGTTACATCCTTGTATCGCCCTCTCAACTTGTCTTCCACTTGTTTTTTAGATGAGGGATGGAAAGTTGTGCATCAATGTTGAACAACAACTTGGGCACATAAATGGTGAGCACATCCTACTATCTCTGAAGGCGTGATCTGAGATGTTAAGAGCAGCTAGCACCAATGTCCCCATGGAGTCAGCATCACCCTGATCGAAATATCAATGACTCACCATCTTTGTGTTGGTTGCTGAAGACCTTTGCGACATGGGATGCACCCAAAAATTTTCTGATTTTTCGTGCTCAGACCGTGTGCCTAATTGCCCAGATCCTTTTTCGCAACTTTCTTAGCTGAACCTGTGGCTTCCAGGTATTCCTTGCGGCATGATGTTCTATGGACGCGCGGAGATGTATGTTGTCGGCCTCCACAAGCATTGGTTAGCGGGCATCTGCTACATAACGTCAAAGGTGGGTGACATCCTCGATTTTTCAGTCCGAACAAGGCCAATTTTCGTGAAGTTGCAACTATCCGGGTCTTTTCACCTACTTTGGTCGAGCCAACTGTGAAGTTCGAAAATTTCTATAATCGGTCAAAGGTACCAGTCAACCAGGTTGGCCAGGAGCCTGATAGGGTATATATACATTGGCCAAACTCGAGCCAACTGACGGTCATTGGATGTCTTGATCCGGTGCTCTGCAGCAATCCTTGTCTGGGCCTCTTCGTTGAAAGTAGGTGAATGGATCATGTCTCGGAAGCACAAGAAGTCGTATGTAAAATCACTGGAGCTAGTAGACTAGTCGTCAGTTGGTCAGAGCTATCCATATCAAAGCCTTCTCATTATTGAGACAACCAAGGATCATTTTTAAAACTAACCAGTGCAGAGTTGAAACCTTGTTGAGCCGTTCAAACCCACCCCACAATGCTTGTCGTGATAGGTCGTTCTCATGTTGACGTCTAACTTACATTGTTTGTGCAGGATACGGAGGACGGCAAGCCACTAGCAACCTCGATAGTTGCATCGGGCAACTATGAGGATGATGAAGACAATGGTGACACCCTAGTCTACACAGGGCAAGGAGCAAACAATCTTTTGGGTGACCGCAAGCAGATTGGTGACCAGAAGCTGGTGGCCGGAAACTTGGCCCTCTTTGTAAGTCTCCCGTGGCAATGGGCAAGAAGTCCGAGTATTCCAAACCTTGGAGCGAATAGCATACGACCTTATTCTAGACCATTGGTTCTAGACCATTGAACGGAGCACTGACTTTCTTCTGCGGTCCTATTCGGATCGTTTGCACCAACTGAAAGACATGATCCTTGACAAGCTTTTCAGACAATCTGCATGTGTAGCACTCTTACGAGAAGGGGACGCCGGTGCGCGTCATCCGGGGGCACAAGAACGTTGAGAGCTACACCAAGAAAGTCTACACGTACGACGGCATCTACAAGGTGAAAGCCACAATAAATCATGCCTTCATCGATCCCAGTTATACCTGGCATCGGCCCTTCGGGATCAGACTCTCCAGCATCGAAAGAAGGCCCGACTGTTCGGATGCCATTTATGCTCTGTGCAGTGCCTTTCTTCTATTCTGACTAGCTTTCCGGTTAGGAGAACTGCGTTCTTGCAGCATACGGGACGGCAAATAAAGTGTCTTTTTGCAATTTGCTTATTTCTTCCTTGAGACTTTTTCGAAGAGGGATTGTGCTGTGACTATGTTTCACGGGAAGGTCAGTGTACTTCGGGGGCTCTTGTCTCTCATGTAAGTTCGAAAGCATTGGGGTTTTCCTGTTTTCTCAATAAGACATATATTTACCTTGACGCAGGTCGTCGCCTGGCGGCCTGAACAAGGCGAGTCCAAGCACATCGTCTACAAGTTCACGTTGAACAGACTTCCAGACCAACCTCCCTTGGCCACAGAGCGGGTAAAGTTCCTACTCATTCCGTATGTATGGAGGGGAGTCGTCCATTGTACTTCACTTTCCGCTCATCACCCTTTCGGCCAGAACTCGAGAGTATGCATCCGTTCTAGCGCTGTTTTGCAGCATCAGCAGGAACATCAGTCTTTGGTGTCTTGGACAACTCAACGTAATAGAGGCTATGTCCTCAATAGGAGAGTGACAGAATTGGAAGATATCGAAGCTGCGGAGACAATGCTATATGTGTTCTTGAGGCCGAGAATAAGCCTAGACGGATGCTGCAGGTATTTTTCTCCAAAGCGGACCAGCTGAAGAAGATGACACCAAGTGGCCGGAAGATGAGGTAACTTTGATGCTGGCAATACTTGCAGTTTCATCTCGCAATGAGGTAGTCTCAAGAAGCTTTACGCTTCTTCCTCGGTGTGTCAGCTTGTCTTTCAATCGCCTATTGACACTTGTCTCCCCGCTTTTCTGCTGCCGAACAGTCTAGATGTCCAAGTTTTGCGCTCAAGAAGTTGTCGTTGGTAATCTTAGATTCTCGCTTTTCGCTTACAAGATTCTGATAGTGAAACTTATTCGCTTCCTTACCGAGTGGTGTTTTTAGACACAAGAACCTGAAGCCTCCAACTTTTTCCAAATCACATGCATCCGTCTTCCATCCTCATTTCGTGATTCTCTGAGCAAAGACACGTTGTTGGGTTCCGATTCGGGCCTTTTGATTTGAAGGGTTGCGGATAGAGGTTTTGTGAAAGTCGGACATTCCACAAGCACGTAATTATCTCTGCGATCCGTTCGAGGATTTGTGCACCATTTTTCTCCGTGCCCCAAAGCGGCCATATCGCATGCTCTCTCATGGGTTGTCTACTGATAAGAAGCTGTTCCGAGATCATCAACTACGTACAAGCATAAGAGTTGCCGTCTAATCTTTTTCTCTCTTTGCGGCCAGGATCCTGTGCGCAGACATCTCAGGCGGCCAGGAGAACTTCCCGGTGCCCGTCGTCTGTGACCCCGAAGACGAAGACGACGATGCGCTGCCACCACGTGAGCATCGGAACCCGGATTTGATTTGCCCTCGTTGGTTAGCGGAAAGCCCCCAGGACAGTATGCGTTGTCTGGCATCTCTACACAGCGACTCGGTTCCGTGAATTTCGATCACTGATTTTTTTGGATTTACTGGTTGTTGCAACTGTCGACAGCTGAAATTGGGCTCCAGCGGGGCCGATCAAATTGAGAATACATGGGCAACCGCAACATGTAACCAGCCCCAAGGTTCTAAAGAAGGTCTTCTGTTTCTTCTCATCGCTCGCAAGCGGCGAAAGCTTCACCCTGTCCTGTGAACACGCATCACGTTTAGCTACGGAAGGTTGGCTGTTGGAGTGAAAATGCTGACTGTGTTATAAGACTCGTATGATGCCCTTCCAAAAGCCGTAGCTCGTCGATTCCACTCACTGCAGCGTTCAAGTACATCACGAAGAGCATCAAGCCGGCGGACCACGTGGAGCCCCCCCCGCCCAAGGGCTGCGACTGCAAGGGCGGCTGCAGCTATGCGCGCGGTCACAAGTGCGCCTGCGCCAAGAAGAACGGCGGGGAGTTCCCCTACGTCGACGACGGCAGGTAGGCGCATCTAGCATCCTAGCGACTGCCTTTGGAATGATTGGATTGAACTTCGACCGTTCGTCTGTGTGGTGCGGTTTGAAGTCCCCGCTTTTGCAGGAGTTTGTGATTCTCGTTCTTCCCGTCCGCCGCTTGCATCTGCACCTGCGGTCTGCCCTCGACCGAGGCCTTCTCTTATGCCGGGGCAGCAGTCAAACGAATCCGGATACTCGCCACGTCACCTGATCCTTCGATTCTTCTCTTTTACGCTCCTCTGTGGATCATCTCGTCTCCGTCCGTTATACCACAGGCTGCCATCGTGCACCTTTTGGTGGATCTCAGTTTCAGACTAAGAGAAGTTTGGGGCGGTCCATCTTGACTAATTTTCGGGACGGCTTTCTTGGTTCACGCTTGGGCTAACTGAAAGGCCGCCAAAAGCCTCGAGTACAAATGGATGTCCCGAAGCAACTCCTGACTACGTTGCGGGCTCGGACGAAACCTCTGGTCCAGTTTGAACCCTCGAGAGATGACCTTCCCCCCTTTCCCCGTCTCGCTGCAGGCTCGCACAGAGTGCATCGGCCGTGTTCGAGTGCAACCCGCAGTGCGCGTGCTACGCCACGTGCATGAACCGGGTCAGCCAGAGGGGGCTGTCGCAGAAACTGGAGGTGAGAGTCTCACAAGACGCCCGGGTGGCGTTTCTTTTTGAGAAGTTTACAAGGCGCCTTTCGGTTGCTGTGGTTGCAAGCCGTTCCTTTGCCGCTTCTTCCGCATATTTTCTTGGGCTTCCTATCAAGAGAGATCCCTCTCTTCTTCCGCTAGTCTGGGCAAAAATTGGGCTTGCCCCCTTCTCTCGTGTTCGTCCTCAGGTATTCCGCACCTCCAACAAGGGCTGGGGCCTGCGCTCCTGGAACCACATCGCCCAGGGCACGTGAGTCGCCCGTTCAACTATTTCGTGGCCGTCTGTTGTTCGCTGAACTGGCTGTGGAAGTTTCCGTGCGGTTGAAAGCATCTCCTGATCAAGGAACCGATCCATGACTCGTCAGTCTGCTAAGAGCATGGACTGCATATCGACACAGTCTGCCCCTCTGGTTTATTCGTCGAGTGTTCTTGAGCATATGAGAAAACGCACGTAAGATACACGTAAGTTTTTTGTCTGAGAAGGTCCTGATGAAGCTCAAAGAGCAATCTTGGTGATTGTAAGCGACCAACCTTGAGAATCAGCACTGCCCACCAAGAGCCCTTCGATCAGGTTCGGAAATCCACAAAGCTTCCATTGCTTCCTACTTTGGTCCCGGCCTGCTTGGTTTTGCTCTGCGCGTTCGAACCAGAATCGGCGCCAACGAACCTCAGAGTTGTCGGTCCGATAGGAGCTCGATGAACATGCTGGCGTGGCTCTTATTACATGGGCGCTCATCGATTCTCGGAAGCACGCATCTTGTGTCCTTCGTCGCAATCAGTGAGCCCGTTTTAAGTGTCAAATTTATAGCACCTGAAGCACAAAGTCACAGGCAAAGTGGATCTACAACGAGTATTCTCTAGAATGACCCTTCTGCTGACGTCATGCAGCGTGGTGTGCGAGTACGTGGGGGAGCAGCTGCGCGACAGCGAGGTGGGCAACCGGGACGACATGTACCTCTTCAACCTCGACACCGCCAAGACCTCGCTCGTGAGAAGCCGCTCCGCTCTAGTGTTGCTGCTTCTCGTCACGATTGTCGGTATTGTTTCTCGCTTCTTTTGTACCTCGGACAAGGATGGTGACGAGTCTTGCGAGCTTCTGGTCAGGCGGTAAAAAGAGAGAGTCCGCTCTTCTTAGTTCTCTACGTGGTTCTAAAGGGTGATTTGTCGCGTGATTGAAGCACCGGGCTGTCTTGTAAGCGCACGGGTGGAGTTCTGACCAACTCTGTTTCTTAGGTGCTCTATTGTTTACTCGAACATCCCTGCTACAACCGCACGCTTTTCGCTCGGTGTTAACCTAGTCGCAGCAATCGTTTCTATGCGTCTAAATTTCCGGGCGGAGGCATGAATTCAGTGGCTTGTTAACGAATCCTCCCGTCCCTTTCAAATCAAGAAATCAAGAAAAGTTTCACCTGGTGCTACCAGGTGCACACAAAGTTTGGGCGCTTATCGCCCTGTGCTGACCCGAACCGTGTTCCTGGAGCGAGCAGGCGTCATTTTCCCCTCCACTTCTGAGGATTCAGACCATATGCCATTTCAGCTCCGCCTACTTCCTACCAACAGAAGTGCGGAGCTTCTCACTAACGTGTGCTTGCAATGTGTCGCCAGGAGGTTCGCCACGATCGGGCCAAGAAGCTTAACCTGGTGGACGAGACCAACAAGGTATGGATACTTTTGTCCATTGCTAGCTGTCCCGTAAACTGTTCTTTGAGGCATCCTTGAAATCCCAGCTCGTCGTCGACGCCAGGAATATAAGCGTAGGGCCGGACGAGTTTTGTATGAACGGAGCTCGTTTAGCAGTCCGCAGTCCGTTTCGGTCTGGCTCAAACAAACAGGTGACAGACAGGTGCACCGCAACAGACTCCGTATCTCGTAAAAAACTGAATAGTCCGTCCGAGGAAGAAACGGCGTGCAAGACGTGTCCGGTGCCATGTACTTCCTCGCTTAGGGCCAGGATTAGACCGCACCCATTACCGCTGATCTGTCTCAAAGTCCCCCAACCTATCGGTCATTAAGCAGTGTCTAAGCGATACTTGCGTGGACAAAAGGGTCTCAGTTAGGAGAAAGCCCACTGAACTTGTCAAGCAGCAGTCCCGGTCGGCTGTAAAAGAGCGTCCAGGACACGTCTTCCCCCACGACTCGCTGTCAGAATGTACTCCTTTGCTGGCGCTCAATCAACCGCATGAAAAGCGCACAGACACGAAGTCAAAGCCTTTAAACTTATCCCCGACCGCAAGCCACTTGGGGCAGGACGCACTTTTGTCCAGTTCCCCCGCTCACGGCCCGTCTCACTGCCGTTTTCCCGTCTGCCGCAGGAGCACTTCGAGGACGTGGAGTGGTGCCTGGACGCCGCCAAGTTCGGCAACATTACGCGCTTCATCAACCACTCGTGCGACCCCAACCTCTTCGTCCAGGTGAAATAACTCACTTGAGGGTTCATGGCCCGGTGACCGCAGTTCCTTCTAGCTTAACCGCAGCTTCGTCCAACATGTTCCGCACTTCTTGACGGTCATCGCAGCTTCATTTTGTGTTGGTCGCCCTGTCCAAGTCCGATATGGCGGTCGCAGATTCTGAGCCCGGTGAGTGCTTGTTCAATGGAAGGGCACGCATTTGCGACTGTCTCAGAACGAAGGTGAGCTGACGGCTGGGTTCTGAGGTGGTCTGCGATCGGGTCCTGAGGTACTCTATCGTGCTTTGTATCCAACCACAACACGGACAGCGCTCAGACTTCAGTGCACTGAGGCGGTGTAAGTTATTGGTGTCATATCTCGGTGTGAAAAGGCCCGACATGAATTCCGGGTTCTTGCGTCGTTGGCCGATTGACCACATGTTGACATGCTCATCAGCGCTTGAATCGTGCTTGGAGTTGCACGTTTTGACCTCTGCTTTCGAGTTCTCATGGGGTAATATCAGCTCATATTGTTGGGGAAGCTTGTGAACCTGTTTTCCTAGTACCAATTCCTGACAAAACCTCGGCACTGAGCACTGCTCAGGTTTCTTTAGATCCTCTGACTAACTCTGGTGCCCCGGTCGATTGCAGAGCGTGTTCGTGGAGCACCATGACGTCAGGGAGCCGCGCCTCTTCCTGGTGGCCATGCAGAACATCAAGCCGCTCGAGGTGAGCGCGCATGATGTAACCTCTCCCTAGCGTCCGTCTCCAAACAACCGGGACGTTTCAGGATGACCCTTTTGGCGTTCAGGGGCCAACTCATTTAACATCAATCCGAATCAAAGCAGTCTGTTTCTCAGGTCACGGTCAGTGTGGTCCGAATCTGTATTCTTGCTTTTCTGGCTTTCTCGAGTGACGGCTTGCGTCCACAACTCGATCAAGTCTGCCGACCGATGCTTGACCAAAAGCGACACCTGACAAGCGCACCGAACTTGTATACGTATGTTGGTGAGCAGCGGCTGTCGTCGGGAGCCGAAGTACAGCTTTCATCCCCTACACCAACAAATGTACTTCATTCAACCAGAAAGATTGTAAGAAACTGGCTTCCTCGACTGGCTTTTCCAGGCGTCAGCTTTTCTGCTCAGCAGTTGGTCGACGCGAGCACTCCTTTATTGCAACAGGCCTACGTCCTCTGTAAACTCCTACCATTGTGCCGCGCAGGAACTGAGCTACGACTACGGCTACCAGAAGAACAGCGTCATGAAGCCGGACGGCTCAATCAAGAAGGCAACCTGCCATTGTGGAGCAATCAGCTGCACCGGGCGGCTCTACTAAAGCGGCCCTACTTTCACTTGAGGGCGGTGGCTTGCTGGAAGTCAAATAGGTTGTGTTGGCGGTTGGTGTATTGCCGTTGCCTGTCCAGAATGACCTCCTGGATTGCAAATGACAGACGAGAGATTGCTTGCTTGCCAGGTCTCTGCGTCTAGAAAGTCACCGTAGGATTTAGAAAAGGTTCACTGGAGAAAAGGTTCACTTGGGCGCAGAGAACCGTGGATGCATTTGCGCCGAGCCGTGGCAGGATCACGCGGAGCGCGATCCCATGCCGTTTCCCTTGACAGCAAGCGTTGTCGTTGGTGTTGCCGTACTCAAATTTTCGTTTACGTGTTTCACAAGTCACGTTGATCCAGTCGTATCCACCACTTGAATCCACGTTCAATAAGTGAGTGCCTTTCTAACAGATGCAGCGACACTACCCTAGTACCTACTGTGGCTCGCTAGATCTTATGCAACAGGAGCACGCCATGTGACAGTCACGTATGTGTGGTGCATAGCAACCGACCCCGGCAAGCGGCCAACCAACAATGACACTGACACGGATGGAGTCAATCATGATGGCAATTCCATATACATCGATGCCAATGATAGGGGACCAACCAATTGGCGCCTCGGGTCAGCGAACAGAACTCCTGGCATGCATCATTCCGGTGACGGTCGCGACCAGCCAGACGCACTAAGTCGTTTTAACCTAGCCCGCGGCGCGGCCCCATGCAGCTCGCGGATCATCACGGGCAAGCCGCACGGCCGGCCCGTTTACGAGTGACTTGCCTCGGAATAAGCTACTAGCTCTGCACATGTGCTTCCTTCACATGATATATACCTCCCGCGAGCCGCAGTGACTGCAGCCGTATACCAGTTGCATGATCAAATGTCAAGGTCACAAAAGCATTTCAAGTTTGCATGTGCATGATACCAGATTCACAAATAAGTCATGGCGTGCATGGCCGGCCGCGAGCCATGCAATATGCATGCAAGTCATACAAGTGACAATAGATTGAGCGCACAGTTCTGCACGGCCCCGGCACGCCGCATCTGCGATATATATTCATTCAAGATTGTAACACTAGCTTTCCGGGCTGCCGCAAGTGGTGCAGTAGAAATGCGCACGCAGTGAGTGACCAAAGAAGGAGACCACGTTGCGGGCGCACATCCCAAAAAGGGACTTGATGACCATTATGAGAGTTTGTGAATTGTTTGCAGATCGATTGCTTCCGACAATTTATCCGCTTCTAGCAGGTCCCACCACTTGTACAAGAACTTATCTACTATCAGTCGGAACCAGGGTGAAAGAACGATGCCCCCTTCTTTACTGTCGGCCTTGGCCACGAGCTCCCGTAGCTGATCCTGGGTGACGTACTGCACGGCAGCAACCTGGGAGGCACGATTGCACAAGCACGACGTCAACAGAGCAAACAAATGGCGGGATTCCTTTAGGCAAGCACCACGGAGATGCTCAATGGCTCACAAAGTAGTCGGCGGGCTTCTTTTCGCCGACTTTCAAGTGCTTGATCGAGGTGCACGCACACCGAGAGTCAGCAAGCGACAGTTTGAAGCATTATCCTTGGCCAAATTACCGTTTCCTTCCTGACAACGAATCGTTTATAGGTTGCGGGACCTGGAAGGACCTGGAAGATTCGAGCAGGTAGAGAGCGGAGTACCCGACTGGTCCAGGCCCCTGCTTTCGAAGTCACCTAGGGGCTGTTCTAAGGGCGTTGGCATCAGTTTGCACCGCCCCAAAAAAACTACGCGTCTCAGATAAAAAGATTTGCAGCGGAGCCCGCGTTGAGGGCTTGAAGACAGCCCTTGGCTGGGGAGTGTCAGGTTAGACCACAAAGGTGTCTCTTCTGATTCCACTCCTGGCATCGTGCAACTCAGAACAAACCGTGCTGCTTTTCCGTGCATGCCTGCTCGAGACTACACCAACATCATCTGGCGCGTGCAGCAATGTCTTCTGACTATCAATCCGAATGCTCACCTCTTCCGGATTTGGTTCTACCTTCACGTCCCGTTTCGCAAAGAGGACGTAATCCACTTCGTGCTCTCCCCACTGATCGTTCGAAGGCGCTTTGTAAAGTATCCTTCCCAGGACTGTAAACCCGTCAACGGGGGCATCGCCTATGGGAAACATCAGCACCTCATCTTAGCAATCCGTGCGGGGACATAAGTGGCAGATTCCTGGCAGTCAATACGGGCAGTCAGTACGGCTGAAGAGGTTGAGGAGACCGCCGGCTTTCTTGGTATCGTCCTCACACATACAAGAAGGCAAATCAGTCACCACCTCTAACGAATCCAGCTTCGAAAACCCAAATTCCTGTACGACAAGAATCCAGATTATTCTCGTCTTTTGTGTCAGACTCAAGGCCTCCTACAAGGGACTAGAAAATAGAAGCAACACAGGAAACTGAAGCAAAATTAAGGTTTGCTCCGAATCTGCGGACGACAGAAGGTGCTCACCCGCTTCAATGCCGACCTCGTCTTTCAGCTTTCGCTGTGCAGCGTTTCGGACGCCCAGGTTGTCTGCCTCAACGAGCTCCGACTCGCGGAACAACGGATGACTGCAACACGTGTTGGTCCAAACGAGAGGGAACGTCACCTGCGCAGAAATAGGGTCAAACGGGGGTGTAAATACGGACGTATAAAGGAAAGGAGTGAAAAAGGGCAAGAAAGAAAACTGCAAGACTCAATCGACAAAAAGAGCACACCTTCGTGAGAAACAAGGAGACATGGGCGGATTGCACTTGCCTTGGTGCAAATGTGATTAGTAGGTGGAAGTCACGACAGACTGTTAGGGGGAAAACTCTTTCTTGAGAAGCAGCCTTTCCTTTAACGGGGATATAATTTCACCACTCTCCGCCCTCCTGTCCTGCACTACTTCCACTTTGACGCCGGGAGCCAGTGCTAACAAGCAAGGGAGAAGCAAGCTGACCATACGAAAGCAGAGTAGCTGAGGAACGACGAAGAATTGCAACGCGCTGCAAATAAAAATTGCGCCGACGAACGACAGCTACTTTTTACTGAAAAAGGGACATTGTGGCCAGGCACTTGCCTTGGTGGCAGAGCGCTGCTGCAACAAAAGCTCGTTTTTGGTGTTGAAGAGGAAGACGCTGAAGGCGCGGTGGAGCACCTTTCCAGTCTGGATCTTCTCCCACAGGTGGCAATTGAGCTTGGAGTCATGCCCTAACACCTATCCGACAAAGAAATGTTAGTTGTTAAGACTTGGACGAGATGTTGCAACCTCGAAGAAGAGGTGAGCAAACCGGTTCTTCTTCCAGGATGAAGATTTGGCAACCCCCAGGTTGGAAATCTAACTTAGGTAAATGTATCGGAAATGACAGGGAGGTACCCCTTTTGAGGGACAAGATTTGCTAAGAGTGTCTCCGCACCTCCTAGACCAATTGGCAATTGCGCAATGAGTGGTGACTACCACCTGATCAACAGGATCCAAGGAAACAACTCCAGTGGGTATAAGCCCCAACAAAAAAACACAGATTTTGAAGCATAGTCATACTCAGGCAGCAGGGACATCAAACGGAACTGCACAAACAAGAGAAAACAAGGACAAAGAGCACAAAAGTAGAAGGGGGGCAGGGCAAGCAGGAACCGTCAAGACAAGAGAACGCACCGTCAAAAAGAGAACGATGAAGCAAGCGGCCAGCGGCAAGGGCAACGGAGTGCATCTTGGGTGGTTGTGCATCCTGGTAGGATGCCACCTAAAATGTCAGGGTGCTTTTCTTGGAGACCGTCAGGACATCAAAATGGAACAAAAGCCGAAGGATTGGTCATCTCAAATCTCACCTCATCACTTTCATTCACCAGAATACACTCATCCTCGTTCATAAGCTTCCATTGCACTGCATCCTGGCCTGCGGGGGCGGCCATCTGGTGCCGGGGCAGAGTGTGTGAATAATGTTGCTGAACCTAGGTACAGACAAAACACGCAAAGGTTACAACATGGCACCGATCGCCAGCAACTTCTAAGGGTTTCCAAATATTTTTTTGCAAGAATCTCCGAAAGTCAGCGAAACAAGCGCTGATCAAATCAATCTGGTCGGAGTGGAAAAGGTGCGTGCTTTTTATTCCTTATTAAGAAGCAGCTAGTATCAATATTGTTGGTCCTCCAACGATAGTTCAATTCACCAGCTACTTACCACCGTCACAAAGAGTGACAGGGTTCCTCAAAGGAGCTCTGCAAGCTTGAAAGAAACTTACCGACAGAAAGTCAGGCTGCCTCAAAAAGTTAGGCTGCCTTGCAGCCCTGAACTTTAGAGTGTTCCTGACAATGGACCGGCTCCACCACTCTCCCTGCAATTGGCTGGTTGCGGTTGCACCAACTGCCAGAAAACCCCTGTTGGTTGCCCCTTTAGTGCTGGCCAATAGAGTGCGCCCCAGCCGTGGAATCCGTTGGCCAGCGATTCGCAACAAGGTGCTAGAGTCCATACGCAACAGCGAGACACAAAAGGGGAACTCAAATGAAGCAACCGGCAAAAGCGCCGCGCCTGAGAGCTGTTCTTTCTTTACCTTACGATGGGTACTGAAACCAACAAAACTACGTACAAAGGTTTGAGCTGCTCCTCGCTTCTTCAGCCTTCAGCCTCAGGCGACCTTTCAAGTTTCAGATTCAGAAATTTGCAAGCAGGGAAGCAGCTGGCAGCAGCTGATGACCAGCCTGCTTCACGTGCAAGAAAGTCGGGCTGGGTAATGCTCTCGTATCGAATAACACATCGGGCAATAAAAGTGGTGGGTAGTTCGACAAGACTCTCCAAATAATGATGCATTCCACAGAAAAAGAGTAAAAAGACCAAATAGAGCATTTGTACAAAGTGAAAACAGCACAGCCACAAGGCGCCTTCCATTGTCTGCCCTCACTTACGGTTCATAATCATCATCTACATTTACTTGCAACAGATCTGAGTTGGAGGAAGGCAACATACAGTGGTCACTAGCTACCGTAATAGGGGCGGGAGCTTCCGCGCAGCCCTCCCGTGCCTGATTTTGCAAAGTTCTGGAAGGGCTGTAGCCCGTGGGCTATGTGGAACACTCAGCTTTTGACCAGCGCCGACCACCTGAAACCCGCTAGCATTCTCTGTCCAATCCACAATCATTGTGGTATCTGAAAGCACTCCTAAAAAGGGGCCTCAAACAGCATTCAGGCGACCTGAACTGTGCCAATAGCATGCATCAGGTGTAGCATCAGAGCCAGTGATTGAAGAAGACGTTTTGCATCTAACAGGGGTAAGGCGCTCGTCCCCGTCACAGCAAGTAGGCAGGTTTGGCTGAGTCGGTGCCCATTCTTGTTCGTCACCACTTATCGATTGGTGCAAGAGTTGTCATGCAGCAATGCATCTCTCCGCTTCTGTCTGCCAGTGCAGTCAACACTCTGACGATGAACTCTCTTACTTGGAATGGCTCTTTCATTGGTACACTCCGAAAGCATGTTCGTCTTTATCTGCCCTTAATATCCAAAGCCTCTTTTCTGTTTGTTCCCAGATTGTCTTCCACTACATGCTGCTTGCCGCCCTAGACCACATGATTTCTGGACTTTCACTCAATCTCTCCGTTCACTCCAGATAGTCCAAAGGAGCCTTTTCTTTGCATCAGTCCATCGGGTGCCATTTCTCCCCCTTTTGCAGGCTAAGCCCCCACTTTGCAGCGGGCGGTGCCAGAGTGCTTCCAGGAGTGGGCGGGGTGGGTAGGTACGGAATCCGCCCCATGTGAGAGTGGGGCGGCATGTTTGGGCGCAAGGCAGCGGAGCTGGTCAGGGAGGAGTACCGCGCCGACGCCGACAAGATCAACACTTACAACGTGCGCTCTGGATCCCTCACTAATGAGTTGCCTGCAAGACCAATCAACCACTGTGCGCAAGGGCCCTTCTTCTCCCCATGCTATCGCCCGATGCGGGACTCATAGCATTATATGCCGGCGGCTTCGCTAAGCAACCGGTCTGCGCTCGCAGGGCCCCTTTTGATTTGAATATTTTTCGTTGTCTGGATCACTCGGCTGTTGAGGGAGAAATTTGTGTTTAGAATGTACGAAATCACACCTGTTTTTCCCATAGTCAAGTGGTCGGACGAAGTTCTGATACAGATAGAACGGACAACTTTGTTAATTGTCTATCTCACCCAATACCTCGGTTTTCGTATCTCCAGGAGGATCTGGTGAGCCAGGTGCTGGAGGAGACTCGAGAGCACTACTCATACATCAGAAACATCGTTAGGTAAGCCGTGGAATTCTACTGCAACGCCGTGGATGAATATTCGCCCGCCGCTTGCATCTAAGCAAACATGCAGTGGTCCTCGAAGACTCTGTTTCCCATCTCAAACCGCTTGTCCTCCCGTCTCGTTTCTAAGTGGAGGCAATGAAAAGAAGGGGCACAACTGCCCCCTTCCTCCCCTATTTGTTAGAAACAATATCACAAGAAATCCGAGTAATGTTACTGGTCGACTGGGGGCCAGCTAGATGTGACACACTGACACTTTTGAGATCTGCTCACTGTGACCCGCTTCTCTGCATGAGTAAAGTCGGGTGAGCGAGGAACCTAGCGGCTTCGCCGGTGCGGCTCCAAAGGACGGGGCTGCGGTGGCCATTCACCACGAAAGCATCTTGCGCAACAAGCGATGCCTGCTGGCCTATGCGTGAGTTCTATGACTCTCTCTTTTGCGCGACTCTAATTACTTGGAGGGATTCCGCTGCTTAAAGAACGTCGAGCAAAAAGTCGCCCCAAAGACTCTTCGAAACCGGACTCTTTGTTCCAACCTAGTAGGCTGTATTCTATGTTTCTTTCAGAGAGGAAGATTGAATGGTTGTTGCACAGATGTTCGAAAGTCTGCACAAACTCTGCTAACTGTTGATGAAAGCTCAAGGCAGCATCGACTCCAGACCAGAATCATTCCAGCAAAAGAGCAAGTTTCCTGCACACTTGTGTGACACTCAACTCCGTCGTCTGCTCGCATGGCAGCAACACGCGTGCTGAGAAGGTGCGTGCGCTGCGGTGGCAACTAGGCGCGGTCCTGCCCGAAAACGTGTCCGAGAAGCTGAGCGCAGCTGAGCGGGACTGCTTCAAGGCGTACGACAAGCTGCTGGGGGAGTACATGGGCACGGGGCCGGACGGCATCGGCATCGACCTGACGGTGGTGAGTAGCACGAGCTGAAATAGAAGATCGTGAATGCTGTCATGGTGAGGAGAAAAAAAAGGGTTTCAGTACATGCGCTCCTCTTTTGGTACTAACGGTTCAAAGAACGCCTGCGAAGTTCCTTAAGTTGGCCAATCAACCATTGGAGCTCCGAGGGACTGCTGATGGTTCTGTTGCGTTTGGCGCAAAGTTCAAATTGAAAGGACCCGTAGTGTTCGAAAGCCCTGTATTCCACAAACCGTGTTGTCTTCAAGAGGCCGTAGGCCATGTGTGCGAAATTTTCCTCATGTCCCTCATCATATGGTTGTAAAGCCCAAGTCGGCGTGACATTAGGATAGACTATTAGGAAAATGACTCAAAAGCCGATTGGTTCTGCATCGCGGACCCTTTTAACCCGACGCCACTTGTGCAATTCCGCCTTTTGTCAGGACATGCTTCTCCGAATTTTTTAGCCGTGTAAGTCTACAGTTTTCGAAGAAAGAAGCAAAGCCCTTAAACCTTCAATCCCTGTGACAGGACAGGCTCTCCCTCAAAGTACGCATCTGGTTTGTTTCTTAAAAAGGTTTTAGTTCCTCAGTACCGAAGTTTTAGAAAACCAGAGCCCTTACGTCCCCGAAAGCCTTTAGCAGGACATCCGCTTCCCGGAGGACCGGTACATCCATTCAAATTCTTCATTTTGGCAACTTCGAAGACGCAAATTGTCAATGTCGGAACCGCCATCCGCGTTGGCAGGACATGCGCCCCCCGAAGGATCCATCCGCCTATTCAGAGTTGTCGTTTTTTGAACTTCGAAAACGCTGAGGTTATACAATCCAAACCCCCAACCCCTGTAGCAGGAGCTGCAGGACATGATCCCCCGGAGGGTCCATACATTCGTTCGAAATCGCCTCTGTAAACCTTACGCGACGCAGATTCTAGCAACTCAACCCCCCCACCCCTATGGCAAAAGATGCTTCCCTCGAAGGACCCGTACATCTATTCAAATTCGCCGTTTTGGAAACCTCAAAGGCGCAGATCCCAAAGTCTCCGATTTTGAAGAAAAGAAGCAAAGCCCTTACATCCCCAAATGGCACAGGACATGCTTCCCCCGAAGGACCCGTACATCGAGTGCCAGGTGCTGCGCGACGCGGGCGCCATGCTGCTGGACGACAAGGTCGTGCACCTCGTGCCGCACACGCGACACTTCATCAAGCGCGCCGAGGCCGAGCCGCTCATCGCGCAGGTCAGCGTGCAATTTGAATTCTTTTCTGAGGCCCTCTTTTTGTCGAAATTCGTCCCAATGCCGTTCGAGTCCGTCCTAGGAGTCCGTCCTAGTTTCGCCTCTCTGCACTTCTGCCAGCGCGCCGGGGCGGAGCCGCTCATCGCGCCGGTCGGCACGCCTCAACGACTTCCACCGGCCTCAGGAGCCCACACGTTCCAACTCTTGCGGTTCATTTCTGCTCTGGTTGGGCCCCTTTTTGGCCTGTCGTAACCTGCACGCGCCAATTCATCAAACTCGAACCACTCATTGCATAGGTCAACCGCCCATAGTGCCTCAGGATTGCCTTGTCCTTGAATTGGAATGGCGCGCTTTCTTCCACTCCTAAGGCCCCGTCCTTTCCGCCTTCGTTCAACTCTCTGCAGTGTGTGGGCCCGAGCCGAGGTCAAGTCGCTCAGAGTACAAGCCAGGGCGCGCTTATGAGAGCCCCAATTCGTTATAGGTCCACCTCTTCGTTGCCCAAGGTCTTCCTGTTTCGGTTGCGGCATCTCACGAAGCGCGCTGAGGCGGAGCCTCTCATTGTTCAAGGTCACTACGCTGTACAATATTCGTTTCACACTCAAACCTCTCAAGAACGGAGTGAGAACGTAAAACTCTTGTCATGGCCGCATAATGCCGATCAACGCTTCATTGGATAGTCATCGAGGTCGACCGCTAAAGCCGTTACGTGACGTCTTTCACTTTCTGATTTCAGTTTTTCTTGAGAGGTTGTTGTTATTCGTTTGCCCTTTTCGTCCCAATCTCTTTCAATAGCAAATGTTTCTAGTCTCGTCCACGGGAGGACTACTTGTCTTTTGGTCGCTCAAATTGAAAAACTTATCCGGCACATCGCCAATAAGTGGGCATCAATCAGGCGTGTAATCTCCACTTGCAGGGCATCCTCTCACATATCGAATCATGACATGCGATTGGTACTGTGTCAATGTGATGGGACGGAAGGGACAGCCGTGAGCCGCGACTGTGGCTCCAAAATCAGGATGCAATAAGGTAAACCGTTGGAGGGTAATGCTCTTCGGTCGAACTTACATTGCCGCTTACAGGGACGATCCTGTGCAGAGGTTCCCTCACTGTGTAGCGCTAAACCAGAAAGCAGTCTTTCCACCTTGAGTGGAATTGTTTTTAGATGAAAGCCTCCAGATTTCTCCGGGCTGGAGCTATTCAATTTATTGCTAGTCAACTCTTTGCCCTGTTATGCGGCCATCGAAGATTGCAAAGAACAGGCTAGCTCGGACACGCAACAATCCCGTCTTTCAATCCGTGGCTTCCAGTCTTGCGAGGCCGCGGCCACATATTTTTAGCGTGGCCCACATGTGTTAGCATCTCTCATCGTACAACTGCCTTTCTGTTTACCGTTAATGTACGGTGTGGCTGGGCTGTCAGTGGCTTTTTCCCCGCAGCCGGCACCATGACTTAGTATGCTCTAACAGGCGGCCACTCTTGGTCTACGTACGGCAACCTTGACACGTCAACTAGCTTATAAGTACGGCCAGTGACGGCCGGGCCGGGCAGATAAACTTTGAACGCGACACCAGGATTAAACTACAAGTGTCAATGCCATGTGATGCAGCTAGTTCGATCGATCATTGTACTGTCACCGTGTGCACTGACTTATGCATGCGTATGTACACATGACTAGCTGAGTGATTCAACGTACCGTAGTGGAACGTAATGATTCCGAATAAATAAATAATTATTTGCCTTCGGAAAGTTAGAAACCCACTTTTGGGTTCGGAAAGTGCAGATTCGCATTCAGAAAATAACTCCATTCCAGCATTCGGATTTTGAAAATTCGGATTTATAAATAAACTCCGACGGCGCCCGTATGGCCAGGGCTTGCAGCACAGCGCGGCCGCTGAGCGCATGGCTGGGCGCGGCCGCGCCGGGCGCGCGACCGCGGCGCGGCGGCTACCCCAGGTAGCTTGCAGTCTGCTCTGTAGCACACAGATCAGACGAGGTTTTGACAAGACGGAACAAAAGGGCGCAATGTCAGGAGAACAGCCAGCAAGGCTGGCCACCATAGGACGCGCTACAGTCTCCGCTTCAAACAATGCTAGAGCAAAGAGCCGGCAGTCTGACATCCTTTCCTTCGGGTTTGGCAAGAAGCTTTCTCCCGCGCTACGTTGAAGGTGCATACAATCAGCTAGATAGTGATTCATTACGCATGGTGCTCAAGCTTTTCATGATTTCATTGTATATATAAACGTTGGAGAAGTGTTCACAGTGCCTGCCGTAGAATTTGGACAGGCAAAATGAGAATCCGAATTTAATTCTCAGGACCATTCGGATTCAGGGTCGGATTCAGGAAAATAATTGCTGAAAGTCGCTCGCATTCAATAAAATAAATAAGGTTTTCAAGCATTCGGAATCATTACGTTCCACTACGGTATATATGTTAGTAGGGCTAGCTAGGCTAGGCTCATGTGTATATGGTGCCGCCATCATGCAAGTATCGGGGCCGCCGCGGCTAGCTAGCCGCCAGGCTACTAAGAGCTCGAATTCGACTTCAGGCTACATTGAAGGCAATATATCATGCACATGCATGCGCATGCCAGGCAGTATCTGGTCGGCATGCACATGCAGGCTCAGCTAATTATAAGACAATTTGCAAGCCCGCATCGTATAAGATGCGGGTGATAAGTTTATAAACTCCGATCAATCAACGGCAAGCTGCCATGAACATGTTCTTGAAATGCTTGCATCGCCATTCCGAGAGCCGCGAGCACGATTCACCACCACGACCTACTTCGCGGCCTGCAAGGCGGTGCGGGCTATGAGGTATTGACACTTGAGCAGCGGCATCATTTGGCAGCATTGAGCTCGGCGCTGCAATGATGAAACTGTTACAGTGCAGGCAGGCCCGAAGTCTGGTCCCTCGTACGAAGCTCAATCAAAGGTTGGACTGGAGCACCCATAGAGCAAGCATTCCGGAGCTGAGCTCTTAATTGTAGAAAACCCGACCATCGACTCGACGGCCTCGTCCCTAGCAATCTTGCATAAGCAATGGTTGACTAGCGTTGCGTAAACCAGATATGATTCCTACAGCTTGCCAGGTTTGCTACCTTCTCGACGGTTCAACATTCCAAAGAGCCGTGTGACCATTCTAGACAAGTAAACGCCGGAAGCAGACTCACATAAGGCCTTCTTCCTTCTTCATACAGTACAAGAACGGGGATATGAAGTCCCCTAAGATCGAGTGGCTCATGCAAGTGGCTTTAGAGCTAATCGCATTCGCGAAGCGGCTTTTTTGGGTAGTTGCTTAAAGGAAATAGTCCGGAGCAGGCTTGGAAGAGGGAACGCCTCGAACATCCTGTGAGAGAAGACAAGTAACGTCAAGTCAAAAAAGACGGTCCTTGCAAGATCACTGCAAAGACTCCTGCTCTAGAAGGAACTCTAAAGTGCGAGAAGCGCGTGACAGAACCAAAAACAGCGAATGTACGGCAGATTGTCTTGGTGTTAAGTGAACGGTTGCCTCAGGGATTTAAAGGCTGGCATTGGGCATGCAAGTAGAGACGGTTCGTGAAAACCAAATTACCTGGGGTGCTGCTTCGAAGACGGTGAACTTCTTCTCTAGATGCTCGTCCAGCTCCAAAATAGCGGCCACGTTCCCACACCTGCACAAGCGCACCCAGCTTAGATAAGACAGGCACAGCCTGTTCTGGCGGAATGGTCGACAGGTTTCCAGCAAGGAAGCAAGGACCGCCTATAGAACGAGCCCTTTGCCCCGCTTCAAGCTCACTGGTTATCGAACGATGGGACACGACGGAGCGCTTCTCCATGACTCGCACTCTCCGAGATGTCATTTCAAACGCCAAACGTTCTATCCAGGACCTCAACGCAATGGCTCCGCTCTCCACGCTATTGGATCAGTTCGTTCGCTGTGATCTAGTCGCTGAATGAAGGGAAGAGTACTCTAAAGCAAACATCTAGTGCATCAAGCTTCCGACTCTCTCTCCAAGGCATTGGCAGTCGTGCACTCGACAGCGCGCCACAGCTTTATAAACAAGAGCCACAACGCCAACGACTTCAAAACGAGAACAACTTGCTTCCAAGATTGACGTGCCGCGGAAGGAGGCTCACCGGTAGCAGTAGTTGGGCGCAGACCAAACGGTGACGAGCTGCTGGTTAAAGAGCCACTTGTAGCCCTCCATCACCAGCTGGTGCGCGCGCGCTATCAGCTCCACCTTCGCATCAAAAGAGAGGGGCATAACATTAGCGAGCGCAAATTAGCAAACGATGCGTGTGGAAAAGAGCGTAATGATTGTTCGCCAACAGGGTTCAAGTGCACTTAAACCCCGTCGTTCAAGAAACCCCTTGCTCGTTTTGAGAGTCGGCTACTGCCTCGAGTGGCCTATTCCTCGTTCCCAACCATTTGAGGCTAGCTCAACGCAACTAATTGCAACTTGCTAGTTCTATCGGCCGTCGCTCAAGGATGCCTAACATCAAAATGGCTGAGTTAAATAAGATTCCAGTTCTCGAACCAATCCTGCGTTGCTATGAATAAGGTACTCTCTTGCGTCGCTTGACATGTGAACGCTGCTCAAGCATGCTCACAGGATCCTTGGCTCATTACATGAGATCCTGCTTGGCTCATTACATGAGCGAGTGCGAAACGGACAATACAGTTTCCCAACCATTTCTGCGTCACTTTCCTTGAACCGCTCGCTCCTTGTCTCCTCTCACCTTGTTGTCATGGCAGAAGGTCGTCGCGACGTCACCCCCAAACAGGTATCCTGCCCCCCGCGGGCTCAGGCCCCACCCCTCGATCTCTTCCGGGTCCGACCACAGCAAGTCGCACATCGCACCGTCGTGGGGGACCTCCTGCTTCCGGTCAATTGCGCGGATCTGGGGGAGAAAGAAGGTGGAATTGATTAAGATGGTTCATCAAAATTGAGCTCTCGATAAATCAAACCTTTGCAACTCGCACATTGCGCCACTCGCCTAAGCGCCTCCTGGGTGCACCAACCGCACGGATCCGAGATGCGAGTAAGGGGTTCGAATCTCCTGAAATCGGAGAAAAGGCTCAGTCCGCCAGAGCAACTGAACCCTTCAACGAGCGGGTTAGTATACTTTAAAGGACTTGAACGATGGACAATGTTGAGAAGAAAAACAGGTCAGGGCCGCACCAGGAGTGGGCTGTCTGCTTGAAGTGGGCGTAGGCCATGCGTGGACAAGGCCGATCGCATGGTGCCAAGATCCTCGTAAGACTGCCGTCCGAAATCGAGACCGTTGGATTTGTGACGCCGTTGGAAACAGCGGCTGACGGTAGGCAAACCTCAATGCTCACTTGAGAAACCAGAACTTCTCTCTCTTACTGCTTGAAGACGCGCGATGCTAAAGAAGGTCCCCTAGAAGCGGCTGCCGGCTTACAAAAGAATTGGAAGATGACGCGATTTGCCTCAGCGCAAGCCAAAAGTTTCGTCAGCTCACTTGGTCAAGGGTGCTGATCGAAGGTGAGAGGCCCCCGTGCACGCAGAAGATTCGGTTGTCGATGAGCGCCGATAAACTGCAAGAGGGCAAGAGATCAGGGAGAGCAAATCAACACAATGGATGAACGACTGATGTCAATCGAATCAACCATGCAGAACGTAGGTCGGAGGATATCGGAGCAAATAAGCACGCCCACACATCGTTGAGGGAAATCAAACTTTGATCCTGTCAATATTTCTTTCCCCTATGAGGAGATCTTAACCTAAGGAAGCGCAGGGCACGTGACAAGAGAGACGGACATGACGATCCATGCTTGCTCCACGACTTGTGTTGCCAGAACTTGCGGTTTCACTGTTTGGGAAAGTATTGGGACTTGGAGCCGGCTCCCAGCACCGACGCTCAAACTCATCAAAGGTAGAAGCCCATCATCAAACACTATTGGATCCAGAACGCAGTCGTGTTGCAAACTACTTCAGTTCGTCGAGAATCTTGTAGAGCAGGACCCTTGACAGCCAAGTCACATGGGAGGTGTCCCTCACCTTAGATAGTCGAATATGTCGGTGCAGTATCGCCACACGTTGACGGACCCGTATTTCCGCAAACATTCGTCGTAGAACCCGTACACCTGAAAGTAAAGCCGACGGAAGGGTCTGCTTTCTCAACAAGCCAGCGCTATGCTTGCATAGCCTTTTCAACATCTTCCACAGAGCTCAGACTTTCAACTTCTGAGCAGAGAGGCGGTCATCTACAGAACCAACTTTCATACATCTTGTGGTTCGGAGAATCTGCAGTAGAACGTTATTGAACATTCTTGTTTTGCAACACTTCCAGGGTACGATGTAAGATACGCCGCAAGGTCTCAGTAGTGGATGCATGGTGGTTACAGCGCCTTCCATCAAGCACTGTCTGCAAGGAGACGCGTTTGTCAAGGATGAAACGAACCATTTAGAAGATACTTGGGGGACTTCGCATTTCGCAAACATGAGGGATACTTACCTGCGTAATCTGCCTACTTTCATGATTGCCGCGTATCAACGTTATCCTGTCTGGATAGCGTACCTGCAAGAACCACCTCAACAATCAGACAGGGTCACTCGTATCTGTCTGTCCTCACTCGTAGATAGTACACATATATTACATTCATGACTAACGTAATCTGACCGTACACTGTTTTCTTCACCGAAGGACTCCCCTTGAGCCGCCTTACAATCGTGAGTCCGCTAGCCGCCTTTGATCTGGAAGGGCGCTATGAAAAACAAGTGCTTCTTCCATGCTCTGTAATGCAGGCGTACACAGCAATCATTTCATGGTACGAACTTTCTTGTATGCCAAACTGACTTTCTTGAATGTCAAACTGCAAAATCCTCAGAATGAGCTGCTTATGGCAACTCTGATCTCCAATCGGTTCTCGAGGGAGCTCACTTTGAGGGCAAGGAGGAGGAGGAAAGTCTCCACCGAGTAGAAGCCTCGATCTACGAAGTCCCCCATGAACAAGTAGTTGGTCTGCGGACACTCCCCCCCAACCGTGAACAGCTCTTTCAAGTCATAGAACTGGCCGTGGATGTCTCCACAGAGCTGGACAGCAAAAAACGAGAGTCACTTAAAAAGAGTTACTTGAAATATTGTTAAGTGGATCTAAACTTTTCTACCAGTCAGACACTTCAGAGGCAATTGCCACGCAATCGCCCAGCGAGAATGAGATACATGAAGTGTGCGCTAGCAGGTCGAGTGCGCCCCTACACTGGTGTTTGTGCCACTAACGATCAGTTTTGAGCGACTAGCACAGCGCCTTCCACCAGAGTGGACACGGCGCGCACGATGAACTCCCTACTTTCTTGTGCATCACGGCGTACTTTCACAAATTGAAAGCGAGAGTGTTGCCCCATGATTTCAAGGTCAGGGGCTGCTTCTAGGTGTTTTGCTGACAGTAGCAGCCCCGCACTAAACCTGCTTTCTCAACCTAGTTCTCAACCTAGTAGGTCCATCAAAAATTCTTGATGTACGATCACTGGTCATCATTTGAGAGGGGCTGACAACCACAAGAAAGACGCTCAAGCGGTAACTCGTACCACTTTACCATGTGCCTCGTAGAAAGATGGACTTTTGATTTACCACCACAGACAGCAACTGGGGAACAGGGTAAACCCTTGTAAACTAGCCGGGGATTGGTACTCCCACAAAAGACTTCCTGCAAGGAGAGTTCCAGCATACCAACCGTGACAGGGGAGTCGACACGCTGCACGTTGCTCTCCTCCACCAGGATCTCCATCGCTTTTGTGCATAGCGCCTTTACTTCACTCTCCTTCAAAGGCTCACAGCGCCGCAGCTGCTCAATCTGACGGTCTAGGTCGGACATCCCAAAAGCACAGCAGCTTTTCTCTTTTAGGTTTTGTTTGATTTTGGACGTTTTCCTTAGCTCCTCTTCTGTCAGTGTCACCTTCCCGTCGTTTACAATCAAACTAATTGATGGTTGCCCGGAAATAGATATTCAGCAGGTTGAATTGAAGGATTGGATTGCCTGCCCTTGACACGCAAGATACAAACTCGGTTCAGCTTCAGAAGCTGATACGCAGGGTATGGCTTGCCAGAGAAGGAGCAACAGCAGTAGCAGGCAGAAAGCTGTAAACTTCAAAGGAAGTACTTCACCACCTGGCCAAGCATGCGCCCCTCTACTACAAGCTGCACAGAACGTCTTCAAGTGGTTCTGTTCTGCCAGTGGCAGCAGGTTTGCTCTGAACTACAGTTTGCTCATCCCAAACGATTTAGAGGGCCTTTTTCCGAGTAGCTCAAATCAAATAGAGGCGGTCGATGGTTGGCGGGCTGAGTATCGGACGCACCAGAAGCACTGCGTCAAACCCTAACTTTGTGAGCCTTGGAAGCCAGAAAGGCAGCTTCACTCCCTTCAGTGTCAGCGCCTGTGAAAAGCTTCTCCAACTTCAAAGCGATCGACAGAGGCTGATTAGACGAGGGCCTGTTCTTTACGATTGCACCGTCTTCTGTTCAGCTGGCTTGATTAGTTTTGCGGCCCTGCTCTGGGCATTTGTGTATGGGTCCAGCTGATTTGTGAAAGCTGCTGACAAAAAAGCTCGCCTGATGAAGGTGGCAGCAGGAGCATGCATTCATTTTCTGACACATCTTGTTATAAGGATTTCTGCCGTGATGATGAAAGGTGTGCCTCTGCACCTGATGGCACTCCCCAGCTCAATCCCATGCTGCAGATGCGGCGATGCAAACCTGCATTAGCATAGGCAGGGTTGCAGAGGCCGGAAGGCCATGGACTGCACCGACATCTTTGACCTGTCCACAGAGGAGCTGCTGGGGGAGCTCAGCTCAGGCAACCACCAATCTGATGGACAAGCGTAAGCACCGCTCCGTGAATTGGCCCGTCACACTAAGCTGCTGGAGACTTCCCTTTAGCCTGGTGCTCGTTGACATTGAACATTCTGTAGGATCCTAGCTTTCAGCATGGCGGTGAAGCTCAGACGTGGCTGTTCCAAGAGAATGTTCTGCTCTGGTCTTTGTTGCAATCAATGGCCACTGCAATGACGCAGGTCTTTGCCTGACCATCTCTTGATGGCATTTGCCTGATGTCATGTCCTCCTCTGTGCAGTCTCAATTGGCGGCACCGCCTTATTCATCAAGAGCTGCAGGAGCGCCAGGGCTCCGAAGATCTCGCTCTACAGCTGCTGCCTAGCCCCCCCCCTCTTCCCCCAGCCAAATTATCCTCCCCAACAGATATCCGAGGAGCACCTGTACAATTGTCACCTTCCCCGTCCTCTTCTCCGCTCATTTCCACCACCACTAGTCTCTCAAACTCGAAGTTACAATATTTGTCGAACTCTGAGCACTCTGCGAAGATTCCCGAAGAGACCGCACCATCGCTCAGTGACAACGAGCAGGGGCCAAGTTTCTCTCCCCCTGGTCAACTCAATAGTCGCCAGGCGGCCGCAAATATTCCACTTCGGGACACTACAACAGCCCCCACTCAGAAACGCGCCTTTGCAGCCCCCCATTTGGAAGGCAGCAAGACTGCTCGAGCGTCTATTCTCACAGAGATCGTGATCGGGGCGTCGCCTGTGATGTCATCCCCCCGGAGAAGAAGCAGCTTGCGGAAGAAGCCGGATGGTGAGACCCCTCGGAAGGGGCAAGCGGAGAGAGGGGAGGGGGCCAAGGAGAACGCTGAGAAGAAAAGGGACGTAGCACGGGTTCTTGGAGGGCGAACGATTGGGGAACTCGGAAGAGGGGGAGAGAAGAAGGACGTGAAGGCTAGCGGAAATTGCCAAAAGAGGGTGGAAAGTAGCGGCGAAAAGTCAAGCTGGGACGCTCCGGCTAGAAGCGGGGCGGCTGGGGGTGTGATTAGAGGGAAGGACGTGAACAGTTCTAATCTGAGCGACTTGACAGTTGGGCCGAAGTTGGGAACGGAGCTCGGCAAGTCGGGTGATGGAGAACAAGAAGGCAACACGCAAACAGACGAAGAGAATGTGGCAGCGGTTTTGGTTGAGGCACTGCCAGGGATTGGGGACCTGGGAGTTTATCGTGCGGGTTCTGAGACTGTTAGGATCTCAACCTCCTCGGAACTTCCGTCCGAGTGCCTTCGAAGGAGCCCAGCGAGCCAGGGCGCCAAGTCTAGAAACGTTGGCGGCTCTATGGAAGCTGGATACGAGAAAAGTATAGAGCATGCGGAGGGATCTGGGCATGAAAAGCTCAGCGGTTTGTCAGGCTCTTCGGAAAGGGCCGAGCGCGCTGGTGGAAAGTTGAGCAAGAGTACTGAGTTCCAGCAGAACGAGGAAAAACTCAAAGAAGTCGACACTCTCAGCTCGGCCAAATGCGATCCAGTCACGAGGTCTAGCTCAGCTGAAACGATGCTCGGAGAGGCAAGTAGCGGTGCGCATAGAGAAGCGAGCGAAGTAACGGAAGCCTATCAGGCCTCAGAAGGGAATTCGTCGGAGGGACAGCTCATTGATGGCGATGTGAGGAACAGTCTCCCTGAACGCAGTGAACGTGAAGCATTAGAAACTGATGCGTCGTCAGCACCACAAGGAACTAGCTTCGAAAGCCGGTTCTCAACAACTGGACCCGCTTCGAAGGCCCTCGAGGGTCAGTTGGACAGCGCTTCGTTGATACCGGAGAGCGAAATCGAACCTGAGCCATCCGCAAGCCAGTTAGGTGGCGAAATCGGGAAAAGTTCCCGCGGTGTAGTTACGCATTTGGAAAGAGGGGCTCTTGCTGAAGACGACGAAAGGGACTCGATTCCTCCGAAGTTAGCAGCACCAGCAGTCTCAGCAGGCCAAAACCTCGATCATTCAAGCGGGGTTAGTCAAACGGAACCCACCACCTCAGCCGTAGGTAGCGGGACGCTTGTCTCAGCAGTGGTTAGCCAAACTGACTTTGGCTCACTAACCCGGTTCGAGCAGATCTTCACGCGCTTTGCTCCGGGTGCGGCGCTGAGCAAGGAAGGAACGGCACGGCCGGGTCCAGCTCTACAGCAATTTTACAAGGTGAGAAGCAACGCATTCAATCGCCTTTTTGGCACATTCCGAATCTGCCTTGAACAAAATCTACATTTCTTGAGGCACCACAAGCTCCAGAAACGAACGCCCGGACGTTCTGCTCATAGTGAGTCAGCCTGCTAGTCGGTCTTAGGTCACTTTCCAGGGGTGAGAGCTCAACCGCGGTTGTCCGAATAGACAATAGGGCTTCAACCGTTCACATGGAAAAGGACGACATACTCCCGCGTCGTTCTCCAAGGGGGATTTTGACTGCGTCACTCGCAATGGTGGCCGGATGACAAATACCCGAACAGACGCCAATCTTCACGTGGGCCCCCTTTACTCTGCCGCGGCTCTTCGGTATGCCAGTCCGCAGGATATACCTGACGAGCTGCGTACGGCCAGATTGTAGATCACAGAGAGAAAATTTCATCGTGGGCCCCATATTTGAATCAAGGGCCCTGAAAAATTTTGTTGTGCGCATGTAGGACGTCGCGCAGTGTCTGGACACGGACGCTCAGCTGCTGCCGGACCTGCCTGGCGGGCCTGGGCTGCGGACGTCCGACGTTCTCCTCCTGCGCGTGGACGCTGGAGACCACTCCGAGGTGCCGCCGCAAGTTCCTCTCCCTTTTCCTTGCAAACAGCAGCTCAAAGTTTACAGCAATTTGGCGATTGAGATTTGTGTCGGATTTCCACCTGTCGAAGCATGATCCTCGCTCTTAGAGCCGTCCGAATGATCAGGCCCCGTCTAAGGTCCCGGTGAGCTGCTTCCAGTGCCAGAGGTCTGATGGAGATTTGCTTGTAAAGAAGTCCAAATGAGCTGCCGTCGGTAAGTTGCATAGGATCGGGAAAGATGTAGCCCCGCTTTGCTTCAGTGGGCGGCTCCTAGGGGGCCACGTTACGACTTTTATATTATTCCCAGATCATTCATTCAAGCGGTAGCACTAGCACAGCGCTTGCGAACGGTTGCTGACGTCCACTTCTGGTGCAGGTGGCGGACTTGCTGGCGTCATGCGCGCGCGTGTCCGGAGCGTGGGCAGTGGATGCGGACGCCCGCAGCACGACGTGGAACGTGCTCTGGACCTGGGCTGCGGTGAGAGAACAAGTTTCTTATTGTGGCAGCTTGTCATTGTGCGGATTGTCGCTCCTATGCAGCAGCGAAAAGGAGTCAAGGTTCGGGAAACTGTAAATCATCTACATGTACTTCCCTGCGAAAAGCCACTTCTCTGCCTCAGCTTTTGCATCAAGATAGTGAGAAGTCAGATTGCGCGTGACAGGGTATGTAAGAGCTCTTCTCTACAGAGTATCTGCATTGCCAGCTTCGCGGAGGGTCCCATGGCAATTGCTCGATGTTCGCTAGAGCCTCCGCGACGTGCCTCCTTGTACTCTACTGATTCCTGGTATTTCACCTGCAGAGGCCACGTGTTGACTACAGCGAGCTGCTGACGTGGCAGAGGGTGAACCATTTCCCCAACTCCAAGCAGCTCACTAGGAAGGTGAGCGCGCGTCATCCTTCGTTACACTGAAAGGAATGGGCTGAGGTCTGAGCTGCACCGAGTGCTCGTGCACAGCAATGTCTATTCCGAGAGTGCGGTCTTCAGCAACCGCATCTTTAGAGCGGTTCGATTGAGCAGTCTCGCGAAAACGCTGTCATTTCAAACGATTCTTCTGCGAGATCTGGGTTTCAAACGGTTGGTCCGATGATCTCCTAAAAACAGGCTCTAAGCCGCAACGTAAACGTAAACGTAACGTAAACGTAAACGTGGTTTGCCCGGGGTTCGAGAAGCTTGAAGCTGTGGTCAACTTAGTCACTCGTTCGATCATTTGCAGGACCTCCTCAAAGGCCACCTCGCGCGCTTCTCGCGCGCCGCCAACTCGCTCATGCCCACCACCTTCACGCTGCCGCGCGAATACGTCGCATTCGTGCGCGCATTCTCGGACGGCAGGACCGACGTCCGCGACCCGTCCGAACCACTCGCCGCTGCGTCCGCATCAGCACCTGACGTCAGCAAACCGTCCGGAAAGCCCGTCCTTGCGGCGGACTCGGATGCTGACGTCAGCGGTCCGTTTGGAAAGCAGGCGGCCGCGTCCGAGTCAGCAAATGACGTCAACGAAGCGTCCGAAAGGCAGTCCTTTGCCTCTGGCGTGGATGCGGACGGAAGCAAGGGAGGCGGGGAGAGTTTGTCTGCGGAGGAGACGGTGAGGATCTTACGGGCTTGCAGGCTTGGTTGTTCTGCTTAATTTTAGGTGAACTCGACCAGCACTAGCTGAAAATATTGAACAATCGACTCCCTATTCGAGCGGGCAAAAGTCCGTCTGCCCTGAAGGCGCACAAAGAGACCTGAAGGAAGGATGAGAACAGCTTCTGAACGCGTTGGGCGCTTGTGCAAGTGTTATGAACAGCGATTGCACACTCTCTTGGAAGGTTTGTGTCCCGCGAGCGAAGCGATTTGGGCAGTTGCCTCGAGTCCAACGGTCTCAGAAGGGGATAAACAGGCAGACGCAGTGCATCCATTCCCTCTCGGTACTGAGCATGCCTAGAAACGTTTACATATCCGTCATCGATTTGAAGGATGGTTGATGTATGTCAGCACTACTGCTCATTTTACCCTTGCTCGTGTAGTCACCTTTCCGACTCATAGCCACGGGGACTCTCTTTCTGCGACTTCGCTTGAACACCAGTTCCGTACTCGCTCCCCAGTCCGCCTCCCCCGATTGCTCCAACGTGTGGATCATGAAACCGGTGGGCCGCTCCCGGGGCGAGGGCATCTTCCTGGTGTCGGACATCTGCCACGTGGCGTACGGCGAGGCCATGGTCGTCCAGAAGTACGTCGAGCATCCGCTGCTGCTGCACGGCCACAAGTTCGACCTGCGGCTCTACGTCCTCGTGACGTCATTCAACCCGCTGGAGGCGTTCCTGTATCAGGAGGTGAGCGAAATTTTTCTTTCAGGGTTGCATCTTGCTCGTTGGAAGCCCTACTCGCTTTGTGGAAGGTCTTCACTTTTCTTCTTTTCGTCGTGCTCTGTTCTTCTTTTGTTCATCTGGTTACCTGAGCAGTGCACGCCCTCAGGTTTGACGTCATTTTTTCTCTGGAGGCAATCACCCTTTCTGCATAAAGAAACCTGCTTTTGAAGTTTTTGCGAGTTGATACCAAGTCGCCCGCTTTGCGGATCGTTTGGTAGGTCGTGTGCATCTTGTCAGACCCGTTTTTCAACACTGCTCTTTTGCATGGCGTCGCGCGCTTCGCAATCTGGCCGTACAGTGCAGAGCAGGGTGTCTCTCCAACACTTCTAATTCATTTCAACGGTCGACCGATTCTATTTTGAATCCTGAGTACCTGTCCGTCTCCTCTTCTTGCAGGGCTTTGCGCGCTTCGCCAGTAGGCCCTACGAGCTCACCGAGGCGTCCCTAACCGACCCGTTAGTTCACCTGACCAATACCGAGGTGCAGAAACAGCGAGACCACGTGCCCAGCTTCCTGCTGTATCAATCTGACGGCGACACGTGTCGCCGCACCTCTGCTGACTACCACCCAACGGAAGCTTCGGACAGAAATGGCGAAAAAGGGGGAGATGCTGTTGAGGAAGGGGACTGTATAACTGGTTGTAGTTCAGGGCCCGCAAAAGCTGACGGGGCTGAATGCAAGGATTGGAGATCAAACAGAGATCAGGAACTTATAGATACAGAAAATTCCGTTCCGAATCCGCGGAGATACGGGGCTGATCTTTCTAAAGGATCGTCCTTAGAGCGGAAAGTGCTTTGCGCCAGCGGCAGCCATAGCAGTAGAAGAACCGAAGCAGCCAAGGCGCCCGAGTCGGAAGTTCCAGCGCAACATAGCGAAGCGTTTGAAAGCCTCTACGGCGGCTGCAAGTTTTCGCTAACCCGTGCCTTCGCCCTCATGGTTAGCCACGGGGTTAACGTAGACCGGCTTTGGCGGCGGATAACAGCGCTGGTTCTCCAGTCACTAGAAGCGGTGCAGACAGCCATACCCGCAAATAGAAACTGTTTCGAGTTGTTTGGTTACGATGTGTTGGTTGACGAAACCCAGCGGCCGTGGTTAGTGGAGGTTAACTCGAGCCCGTCAATGGAGACCGGGACGCCCCTCGACTGCGCGCTCAAGGGCGCGCTTATACGGGACACGCTCGCGCTGGTGAGACACGTGGCACGTCTTGACTGACGAGCGAAGAGAGCGTTTCTTTATCAGGACTTGGTTATCAAGGCTTTCAGGGCATATCGCCATGTGTTTGAAGGTGTTTTAAGCTTCACACGAAGGAAAGAGATGGGTCGCAAAAGATTCAAGTTCAACTAGGGTCAATTGCCTTTTTTAAACTTGAAAGTGCCTTTGCGGCCGATCAACAATCGGTAAATAGTGATCCATACCGTGGTCTCTCCGGCAACTGACGCATAAGCGAATCGTTGCCGGTCTGGATGCTTGATGAAGTCCACGACAGAAGTTCTGGCCCAGCAGTCATCTTCGCCCATACGAGACGCGTCCCAGCAGTCACCACGAGACCTTCCGAACTGCGTTGACATCACAGTAAAGCAAAGTGTCTCTCCGCAGGTGGAACCCCTCCCGTTTGACCGCCCGTCTCTGGCGTCCGTATTGCGCCGGCGTGCCAGCCCCCTCCCGTCCGTCAAAAGATTCGGTGCCAAGACCGACCGGCCACAGCGCTACGACCCCGACTTGCACAACGATCTGGACAAAATTCTGAACGGCCGGAGACAGCGAAGATGGGGTGCGTTTGTTTCACTTTGGTTTCTTCGTCAATTCTTGCCCCATACTGTTCCCTCTCACATGTGAAATTATGGCTGCTAGTGGGCCCATTTTGAACAGGGCATAAGCTGGTTGCCTATCAAAACAAAGCATGAAGCCAGGGAGACGTTTGCCAAGGTAGTTTGCAAGGAGCAGCTTGTGAACATACGGCGTAAGGAAGGCCAGTAACGCCGGGCACTGTACTTTTTGGCGAGTTGTTCCGAAGGGGAGTTTAGTGATTCATGGTCACTCAACGGGTGTGACGGGGTGCCTTTCTTTGATCTGGCTCACAAGGCTTAATTCTGATTCCGGTGATTCTCGTGGATGCTTTACGGTACTATGATACACCGGCGTGGATCTTTTACAGCCCACAAACTGCTGGTCTCCTATGTTTGGAAGGCTCTTTTGTTGCCAAAGCTGGCGCGCAGCATGCGTGTTCGCAAGGTATCTAAGCAGCTGACTTGACACGTGGCACCCATCCTGCAGGCGACCTTCCGGCTCGTTTAGGGAACTATCAGCGGATAGCCCCTTCAAACCCGCACAAAAAGCAGGCCCCAAAGGGACGGGTAGTCGACGGACGCAGCTGACTGAATTCATGAGCGCCAATATATGGCCCGCTGCTGTTGTTCGTCCACACTTGGGCTTCAAGCCCAGTGTTCGGTGTAAGCAAGTACTTAAGTCCAAATTGCGTCCCAGTTTAATGAAGACTGTAATGAAGATACATCCACACTTCATCTGTGTACGTTACGAACAAATTGCGATGCGGCAAGAGCTAGCGAGATCGATCGCCGGACCTTTCTGCAAACGGATTTCATTGTCTGCCAGCGCTTCCATGCAGGTACCCTACTGTCTTATTTCCGATCGACTTGTCTTGAGCCGCTGAAATAGCTTTGTAGCTTTCATTACGACGTCATTTCAAGTTGGTCGCGAAAAAGCTCGCCCAACCGATCCCAGGGCCGAGCTAAACATGCGGCAAGTAATGTGCGCTGGAGCCATAAGCTGCATGACGCACAGTGATGAAGGTAGATATGCTATAGCGGTACTTGCGCCGCCAGCACTTTCCTCACGTACAGGCTGACACGTGGCGGGGGGCTGTGCCGCCCCTATTGGTTTTATATTAGTACTAATACGGCAGATGCCGCGGGCTTCAAATGACCATAGAAGGTTCGATCCCGATATTGGATGAAACTCAGTTCATTTATCATCATGGTCTCACAATTCTTCCATCCCGTGGATGGTTGCGCCGGCCGAGTCACTACTTAAGATCATCGGTGTGACGTACTACTAAACAAGCGCAGTGTCCTGACACGATGTCTCGACACAACCAGACTTAGAGATACGTTCTAATTAAGGGACGTTCGGTGACATGTACTTTGCCATGAGGCCGCCAGTGGTCCAAGCCGTGCTCTCAATGAATGCCGCGCGCTGCCGCTCAGAGCAACAAACCGTTTGCCACAACCAAGCCGTCTGATATTTACACGTGTCTCTTGTAGTAACCGGCAAGCAGTACCGGCGACAAAGGCGCCAGCCGTGTGGAACTCTTGCTACCAAAACTCTGGCCGAATCAATCTACTTGTAGACTGCAGACACATCAACAACAGTTACTCTACAAAGATCTTGTGACTAGCTCTGTTCTAGCTACTGTCCTCTCCTTTGCCCTTCATTTGCAAACCGAGCGCGAGAAGGCCCACTGCTGAGAACGCGGACATTGCAGTGCACGACCAGCCGGCCGCCAGGAGTGTAACCCGTAACGACTGCGCGGAAACGAGGATGCTATTTCAGCAGAATGTAATGGTACGTGAAGACGAATCCGCCCTCTTTAATATGAGCAGCCTGATGCACCGGGTTCCTCGTACGAGAATCATCGACAATGTCCTGTTGCGGACTGCAACAATCAAGCGCCGAGATCTGTATTCTCCTGACCGCAAGCTGCACAATAACGACAGTGGAGCACTTTGGACCAGCACGGGGTTTGAATTTCGAGCACACCATTGGATTGGGTGTGGCTCACAAACTCCGCGATGAAACCATCGTAAAAATGGTTAGGAGGTTAGAAAGAAGGTTAAGCAATAAGATTCAAAAAGAAGGTTAGACAAGAAGGTTAGACAAGAAGCGAGAAAAACTTCTCACCTGTGCAAGGGCCGAAGCGCTGTCGTTGGCGTACTGCATGGAGTCGGGTTCGATCGATTGGAGGCCGGCCGTGAGCCGCGCGCACAAGAAGCTGCGGAAGCGGAATCCGTTCCGTTCAGCGCGAGTGGAACGGACAGCCAGCCAGGCAGCCAACCGTGATGGATTTTCCCAACAGTCGAGAAATGGCAACGGCAATTGAAAAGCAGTGCGGTATAGGTATTGTCCAACGAGAGGCAAGCAAGCTGTCACTCCGCGATCGCACTGAGTACACACCAATAGTGAATTTCGAGATGCAAATCAGGTTGAAAGGCTCACCCAAAAACAAAGGCTACCACGACACCTCCGAACGCTTTCTGTCGCGTCAGTTCGACTTGCAGGTTTCCGAACTGCAAAGACAGCAAGTTACGTGTTGAACAGACGGCAACAAAGGCTTCTAAGTAACCTCGAAAGGGAACAATCCCCTTGAATAAGGCACTCACGAGTAGACTAAGGTCTTTAGGCAGTCTTGCAAGCCCGGCAGGTTCTTACAGCAACGTTTTATGAAGAAGTGGGACGTTCAAAAGTTGCTAGAGTATGATCAATACCGGATGCGAACCTTTCAAATACGTTACGAGATGCTCATTGACAAAGCGGAGCTAGTACTACTCATGAATCTTGCTCCACTGCGGACCGTATGGAAATGCATGAGAAGGAAGTTTGACATTTTCGTGTGGGTTTCTCCTACATGCGCCTGTTCCGTTGTTTCGGATCTGACGTCACCTCTTTGCTCTCGCTGGTGCCAAAAGTCCAAGGAGAGGAGAAAACGAGATTGTAACGGTGTATTCTCGGTGGAGGCTGACGAACAAGCACTGAAGATCATCATTCCCCTGAAACTCAGAACTAAAAGGGTTATGTAGACAAGGTTTTCGCTCAAGAACGTGTAGATCGACAGGAGGGTTACGGATTAAAATCTGGATGCTTGAAATTCTTGCTTAAAAGAAGGCAGACGGTAAAGCCGCATTTGCTGACCTTCAACACTTTCGACTCTGGGGACGGAGGCGTGACGGGCTTTTCCTCGGCTCCCTCGGCGATCGACTTTCCAGCAGCAGAAAGCGCCCGGGCAACCTGCGAGAGCAGAAGACAAGAAGCTGACGCCGGGGCGAGGACCTCTGTATATTTGTGACTATGCTGTGTCCCGTCCACTTCGAGAAAAGGCGTCGCTTTCTGTCAGACGCGGGAGATGGTATCCAACAAGAGTAAAAACGGAAGGTCTAAGTAGAGTCGCTCTCACTCTCTGAAGCTGGAAGATACTGAGATGTCAGCCGCCTCTGGCAGCGCTACGGGAATGACCAAGCACATTAAGAAATGTCGTACATTTCGGCCGCCAGCAGTAACAGCAAACAGCCGGGCCGATCTCCTTTGGTTGCACTAAATTTTCCTATCATGACGCACATACGATCGGCCTCCTTTAAGAGAATGACGAGCAGGTCACCATCAACGTCACAAACAGGCGCAGTAACACGCCCCTTTGAGACTGCATGCTCAAAGGGCTGCTCCGACCCTAACCGTTCTTTGCCCAAACGAGGTTTTCTTCAAAAGGCCCGTGCTGTATTGGAGCGCAACCAAGTTGACGTCAGAGAGCGACTGATGTGGGCGCTACTCGCATTCTAGTCGCCACAAAAGTACCACTGGCACAATCCTATGCAGCAACTTCCAGGCTCGCACTTACTTTACCGAGGCTGCGGACTGCGCACCACGACCTGCGCGACCAGACTTCAAAACTCCTTTTATGCCATAACCCAGAATCTGGATCGAAACGAATTCCCCACGGGATGCCTTGGCTCCAAACTGGAGCCAAAACGGGGGCCAAAGGAAAGCGTCTCGCCCCGAGAAAGTGGACAATGATTCGCAAGCGGGCCCCGGTTCAAGGCCAGTCCACTGGAGAAAGGAACCGGTTCTCATAAAACCGGGCCAATCCTCACAAACCGGTTCATGTCTTTTAAACTGGCCCCGATTCCTCCGCCACATTTCTGATGTGGGACGCTCTGGTTTCGATGCCCGGTTTGGGCTCCGATTCAGTGATATTGCGCCCCGTGTAGTAGCATGCACTGCCTTCTTCACCGACCGTGCAGCCCCGTCTAGTGCAACATACAAGATCTTTCCTTACCTGTTTCAGCTCTTCACAGTCTCCGCTCCGCAACGGCCCCGCAAACGCTGCCAGCCGCCGCCCGAACCGCGCGCGTTCGCTGCTTTTCGGGGGGAGGCCCGCAGCAGCATCTGCGAGCCCCCTAGCAGCAGCGGCAGCCGCTTTCGCGTCCAGGGATTCAAAAGCGCGACCCAGACCGCCAAGAACCGCAGCAGCCGAGTCGCCAACCTGTGTAACAAAGAGGGAAAAGGAGAGTCATGCATCGTATGTGATGATGTTAGGGGCTGGCGAGTTGAGTCTCTAACCGGAATTCTTGGCGTCTGAAATCCATCAAGGCCGTGGCTAGAAGGAAGTTGGAAGAGCGATTCGAGGTTACGGACTTGTGATGCAGGCGGAAGGGAGACTATGTCAAGCTGAAATCCCTTGTAGGATCAACAAAGTTCAAAAGACCGCAGAACACGAAAGTCTGCACACATACTTCGATAGATATCATGGCCAGACTGTCAAATAGGCTCAGAAGAACAATGAACCGATATTCTAGAGCGCCTGACCATCTGATGTGATAACACGTGTCAGATGTAAACCAGTCATTGGGCTGGAATCGCCACAGGATTTTGCTACCACTGCCATCTACCAAGCAGAAGTCCATGGCAAATTCGGATGTAACGCAAGGCAGATTCAGATGACTAGCTCCTCTCTTAGCAGCAGTCTGACTCTGAGACCATAAGAGGCCTGTGTTCAGAAAGTCGACATCACTTACCTCTCTGTCGAGGGGGCCATTCGCCAGCTGAAAACCAGAGAATTTGGCCTGCATAAGAAGCCAGTTTTTTGGCTTTGTGTACTTGCATTGGATTGGCCAGTGCCGGCCCGCTTAGCAGAATTTGAGAAGATTAGGCACTAGTGAACCCAACACTGCCTATCACAATAGACAAGGGAGCAAACAGACATGGAGCGCCATAGCGTCAGTGTGATCCATACATGAAGATGCAACACTGAAAAATAGAAGTCTGCCACATAGCGGAAAGAACAGGACAATGGCCAGCAGCAGCTAGAGGGCTTAAGAAAGCCCTAGCTTATGAAGCAGAGGGGTGCCTTACATCCGCTTTTAGATCCTGGGGTAAGTTTTTGAGAAAGTCAGCGTCAAGTCCCGCGAGGATACCCTGCAAAAAGCCACATGGTTTTTTGGTCTCAATCATGCAAGAAACACAATAGCACTGCCATCAAAAATATGTACTGCATTATAATGTTATGTAACAGCATCTTCTGGAAAGTGAATGACTCCTCCTACGATGCATGAATCCTCTGGATGGCAATCGACGCTCAATCAACATAGAACTAGGGTGTGCTTTCACCTGAAAGAGAACCTGCCGCACAAGTCCGCTTGGATGCCATCTCCAAGTTGTCTAACTTCAGGCAAGACCGCTTTTGGACGGTGGTAAAAAGTCTGGATAAGATAGAAAGAGACAGAAGTCCTGAAATCATTCACAAATCCAATTATTGTCAAGAACTGCTCACCGCTGCCTCTTTGAGGGCGTTCACTGCTTCAGCTTCTGAATCAGCTTGCGCTGCTTCAATCAAGTCCAGCCCCTCTGTGGGACCCGCTCTTACAGTACACGTTGAAAACCTCATGCGTCTGTGTTTTGCATCTGCCATAGCATGTCGCGACTGCAACCTCCTGAGATCATTTCTGCTGCGGCGATGTTTTGAGCGCCCGAACGGCGCTGCATTGCATTTTCGAGGACAAAACAAAGATGAAATACCCTCAGATTGAGCTTTGGCGGTGAATTTCCTGTCTTGTGAATGTGAGCATTTGAAAGCGCTGCACACAACGGACGAGCGTATTGCGGACGCCGCCATTTGATTCAATGCTGGTCCAGGAAAGTTCTGCTCTGGCGCCCTCTCTGGCGTTGTTTGTAGCTTTGTGAGAGCGCGAGCTACGCGTGACGACTGTCAAAATTAGGGTTTCGTTCTCTACAAACCTAAGAGGTCAACTGCTTTAACCCGGCCAAATCTTGCAGCTCTAGACCGTCCGATCGTCTTCAGGAGCTACTTACAAACCTAGCTATCGGCATCGAACAGTCTCGATCCTTCCGGTGGAGAGAAAACCAACTCTCGGGCCATGCATGCTGATCTATGATCATCGAGCTGGGAACTTCATCAAGTTCATGCATTGCAGCCTGACCAAGGCCAGCGCCGGCGGCACGAAGAGGCGCAAAGGTGCCACCTTGGGAGAGATTGCGCAGCAGGCTGAGCTCAGGGGACACATCCCAGCTTTGAGTTTGTGATCTTTTCCACTTCTTGGGCCCTTGTAGTATGAAGATGGCAGGGGGAACAAGCGCTGCCAGGGGAAAGCGGAAAGCACAGGATGAGGACGCCCACCCAATTGCGGGTCCCTTCAAGGAGATGCCTTTCTGGAGGAGGATACGTGATGTTGTTATCCCTTACAAAGTTTCAATTGACGAGCAATTCCTCTCGCAACCAGGGAATATGAATCCTTCTGCTTGGCGCAGGGTCGTGCGATTCAGAGGGTATCCTACCGTTCAGTTGGTAGTAAGCCCTGACGAGGTGGACGCTTATGGACGGCGCAAGTTGAACTTTAGCATTTTGGGACTTAGCAACGTGTCAGCCGTCGTCAGTTATACGAAGGACAAGCATTGGGGTGGCATGAAAGAAGGCAACACCATATCTATAAAGGCTGGACTTGGTGATGTCACCATCGTGTGGCGCGGCATGCTACCCCTGCAGGAACAAGATGACCCGGCCCCCAAACCTTTGATTTCCCTTTTGAGGAACGAGGCATCTATAAAGAGAGCTGACGTAGTACTTGTCACCAAGAATGGGGTACAAAGGGCGCATTCAGATGTTTTGGTTCAAGAGTCGGAGTTCTTTCGGGTGAGGATAGAGCGTTGGAGTGAGGGAGGAGAGGTAAGAATTGACGTGGACCTTTCTGAAGAAGCGTGCACTCTCTTGTTAGAGTGCATCTACGGGGGCTTCCATGAGTGCTTTATCAAGGGGCTTGGGGCAACTCTTGATTGGGCCTCGCCAGCTGTCAAAGAGCTGGCAACTTTTGCTGACTACACCAACGACACGGACTTGATGGGCAGCTTGTTGAGAGCTGTGCCTATGACAACCCTTGCTGCAGCGATGAGTGTGTTGGAGTGGGAATTCCCGAGCGGGGTAGATGTTTTCAACGGGCTCACAGAGAGGGCAAGGATAATGGTCAAGCAGGCTGCGCAAGAATCAATGGACGACCCGGACATGGATGACAGCGAACTTTTAACGATCTCAAAGGAGATCTTTGCGGCAAAGAAGAGAAGGTTGTCGTGTGAGTAGATACAGGCTCAAGTGTAGCTTATCACTCTTCCGTCCAGGTTCTTGAATCTGGACCAACTCGGAATAGGTATGTGGAAAATGTTGGTCAATAGTGTAGACTGGTCGTGAAGGTCTGAGTTTCTTGCCTCGCGTCCCAAAGTTTGAACAGCTCAATAAATCTCAATCCATCTACCGTAGCTGCTAGTGACCAATCTGTGCGACTTGGGCCGCCAGCATTCAATCAATATGGAAAGTATTGTCAACCACGTTCTTGTGTGCATGCATGGACGACTCTGGCAAAGGCGCCATATGCAGGCTTGGGCCACATTTCTTGCACTCAATGATGGGCAGCCATGCCGAAACCGCGCATGTCCAAGCATGTTTGTTATCGCTTATGGTGGGCCATGCGTGATTAGCGCGCACGCAACGAGCCAGGTCCCAGCCCCTATTGATCAACGTCGTTTGATGCAATTGATCATGAAGCACACACCAGGTTGCCTGTGATTGCTTGTAGATCAGAATGAGCTCGAATCCTTGTCAACTAACCAATATACTGCACCAAGAATCGGGCGCTTTGTATGATGTTAATTCAAAGAGGTTTGCACTTATAAATTCATAACACTAGCTGGCCGCGCAGCGGTCTGGGCCTATCCAGGCCATACGTTTGAAAGCTGGAGTCCTACGTGGTCCCCACAGATGTCGGATCAAGTGGACAATCTAATGGCTTTCACAAATTTGGCAAAGCCCCCACGATTGTCTGATCTTTCCATGCTTGAGTCTGAAATTGGTTATCCAGTTCCACATAAATCTGCTGGAACTGAGGTCAAGATTCACGCCGGCCTGCATGCTGGCCTCAGGCTGTCCGGCCACAGCTGCACATGCGGCGTTTTGAACACAAGCCTTACTCTCTTACTTGAGAAATCGGAATGCATGATCCCCGCTTGCTTGGCACATTGGAAGCTGCGCCGAGCTTTTAAGACGGAACAGTTACTTGACAGCTGTAAGACTGTGATCGGACGTTGCAACAATGACGTGTGCGCAGTGGCGCGGTGCTGGTGCATGTATGTCAGTGTGACCAACTTCGGAATCTGTGACCGATCAATTCGTTCAAACTGCCTTTGGAACGGACGAACACAGGAGGGCCAGCAAATGGATTCGAATTGGCTGATCTCGTACATAGGAGTTGTTGACTTGGCGGTGCTCACGAGTCGGGCCTGCCCCTGATCAAAAATCATACCATGCTGGTTCAGATCAACATATGTTGCAAGCAAGGTCCATCCGGCTTGATGTACAAAGGACGATTTACTTTGTCTGGCAGCATCCCTGCTATCCTGCTATATCGACCACGTTTCGGTAGTTTTTGCGGTCTTTTTGGCCCTCGGTCGGCGCTGCACCGTGATGTGAAGTCCTCGGATGCTCTCCTGATGCTCCGAGCACGTCTTCGTCGCCATTCGATTTAGCCCGCTCTCAGATTCCCAAACAACCAAACGGACAACTTGTTTCTCAACTGGCTCGGCTGACGTGCCGTGCCAAACGAACCCTGTCGAATGTCCCACTTTAACGTAGAATGAGTCTTGCAAGCGCGGGGGGACGCATGATTGCTTGCAGAGCCGGGCTTGGCGCGCGAAACACCTACGACCAAAACAGGCTGCCCGCTCAAGCCTCCGTCATTCTCGTAGCCACGATTCCCACGGGGCTCACCCGAAAAAGCTGGTAAGCAGACGAGTCGGGATGCCGAAGCAGGACGTCATCATCCACAATCACGACCCCCCCCGAGTCCTCCGATACTGGGGACCCTCTCTCGTCCATTTCGCCATATGAGCTCTCCAGGTTTTCAAGATTCAGCGCCGCCTGAAGCTTCGCTTTCGCCTCCAGGAAACTTCGCTTTCCTACACACTTTGCAGGATTTTGTTGGACTGGAAATCCGCACAATGTTTGTGCAGATTGTGTACGACATAGAGAAGTGGTTCACACCGCTCTGTTTGCTTGTTGCCGTGGTCTTCCTACTCCTACCAGTTCTTCTAATGTACGTAAGTCGATGCATCAGCGACAAGTGCACGTGGATGAGATTCAGCAAGGCCCAACACGTGTCGACACAGGACCGCGGAGATCAGTACCCCGAAAGCTATGGTGAAGAACACCGGGTCATTGAGGAACGAGTGGATCTCCGCTTGCAGCTTATTTTACACAGCTAGGGGCATCCAAAAGTTGGACCGAAAGAAGATGGGGACCGGAAGTTGGACCCGCGCAGTCACTTACGCGGTGTTCAATGATCGGGAGACACGCTTCTTTGACCTTTTCTAATTTGAGGACTTGTGTTCTTCAGTGAGTACGAACTATCTCATGGGTGAAATGTGAGCGCATCTCCAGCACTTCCAAAGTAAGTTCGCCGCCCAAATGAGAACATTTTAACGGTTTTATGGTTTACTATTCGTTTTGCCGGTACGCAGAAACACGCAGAAGTAGCCCGTAAGAGCTGGTGTACTTGCATGCATGATGCAAGTTTTGACACTCGAGCGGCTGCATTATTGTATTTTCCGTGCCGCAGAGTAGACATGAAGATGTTTGTGAGAACACTGAGGATTTAGACCCAATCTCAGCTGCTTCGGATTGCCATAATCACGAGCCGCGCCGTGCAAACGTTATCTTGAGTGAGCCCTTCCGGGTCTTACGAATAGGCACTTCGAGTGACGACATTAAAGTCGTATAAGATGCAGATAATGGCACCCGTCAGCCGTCCGTGCAGCCGCATATGATAGCTGACCAGTGCGTCGAAAAGATTGAATGGACAGCGCTGTGATCACGATCATGAAAGACAGATGTACTGACCTAATCTAAAAGAACGTGCCAATCGACGACCATCCAGCAGTATTGGGGGGCTGTTTGCGTGCTTGCGCCGGACCTCTGTCTTTAGAATCTGTCCCGATGTAGCCATCATGTTCCTGCTCACATTTCGATAACGTTTGCAACAACTGCACTGATTCCAGATCTAGTCTTTGGTGTACCTTTCAGTCAGGAACAAAGTCACGAGTCTCTTTCCAAAATTGCGCCCAATGATTTGCAGAGCTTCCGGTCCCGGATTTTCAGCATCGGAACTCTTAAAGATGCAAGAAAATGCCGACTAGATGTTCAAATGAAAAAGTACTTGGCCTTGGCACCACCCCCAATATGACCACCACGTTGTGCATATCCGATAGTTTCTGAAGCTCTATGGGCGGCCCTCGATCAGCGCTGCAAGAGCACCGCAAGGCAAAGTATTCAGACGCTCCATTCAGGGTCCGTAAACCTCAGCTTCTTTGCCATTTCGGTTTCTCCTGCAGCCTCTTATGATTCTCATTGTGACAGCAGACAATTTCTCAAACAGTTACGCCTTGACCCGTCCCTGCCCATTAAACCCTATTGGATGCCGAAATTTGGAAGGCATTTGCGAGCACTTCCTATGCAGAACCGCACGTCAGTGGCGCGCAAACCACCAAAATTACAGGCTGCCCGGTCAAGCCTACTATGCATCATTCCCGTAGCTACGCGTTCTACGGGGATGAACGGAAAGCTGGTGATCGACCGACTTCGAATATCAAGAGGTTGATGCCGGACGTCGGAGTCGTTTTTCGCAGTTGCGCCGCTAGCCCGCCGCCCTCCCGCCGCTAGCCTTTCACCTCGAGCTTGATCATTCGGATTGAGCATGCGCAGTACTCTGGTTTGCAGGGCTTCTTAGACTTCGCTTTTTCATACGCACTGCGCAGGACTTCCTCTTTGTATTCGTGCTCAGTCCCGGCAGTGACGCTCTTCCAGCTTGTCGAAGACTACTATGACTGACAATTGCAAGGGCCATCTGAATCGGGAGACTCTTCGTAGCTGCACCAAGTTTGCAGCGCCTTTAATTTGTTCACGAGACCTTAGTTCACGGCCAGTTCTAGGGCATCCAAGCGGAAGCAAATACCTGAGGACCGTACTTCATGCGCGGCCACGTTGAGCAGAAAAAAGCGCGCGAGTGCGCGCCACACGAAACGTCGGTTGCTTCCGGCAGTCATTACGAGACTGCCGATCCCAAAGTGCTCTGCAACGAGCTCCTCGAGCGCGCGCGCCCTTCTCTTGGGCACGCTCGGAGCGGACCCGCTCTGAAAATTTAGGCGCGCGCCTTCGAGCGCGCGACAAGCGCGGGACCGTGATATGGCGCGCCCGGCCGGCCGCGGGACACGCAGGCGCGCGGGTCAATGCGATTATGCGCATCTGCGCGCACTAGTACTCAAGGTCGAGTCGCGTCAAATACTGCCTTTCATCTTCGACTGCAAAGGCTACTTTAGGTCCAAATTATGGCGCCTTGAACAAAGACACAACAAAAATCTGGACCTTCCTCGTTTGGGCCGCTATGGAGGATCTCCCGTCTGATCTCGCGCTCTTGATTCTCAACAAGCTAGCGGCGCAAGATCCCGCGTCTCTGCTCCGCTCTACGTGCGCTTCCGAACACCTTTGCCGCCTGGCGGAACGCAATCCTGCCGTTTGGCTGAAAGCTTTTCTCTTCTTAGAACCAGCGCTGGAAGTGCCCTTACTCGAAGGGTGGTGTGATAGACTGAGCGCGGGCTTTCAAGAGGCAATGACGTTACCGGGCCTTTGCAAGCAGCTGGTGGTAGCTCGGCTAGCAAAGCTCAAGCGTTTGTGCTGTAAACAACCCCCAAAGCTGGCAGGAAGCAAGGTCGATACGCGAGATGGGGAACAAAAGCAGGAAGTTGAATCTAGCCTGCACTCAAAAGGAAGGCGACACATGTTCCTCATCAGAGTCCAGGGAAGGCTTCTTTGCTGGCAGGTCGACAAGCCGGGGCCAGAGGAAGGGTATCTGTCCCGAAATACCGACTTCTGGGATTATTCAGGTGGGAGATGTCTGCTTGAAGGCTCGTTGTTGCAACCAGTTTATGCTGACGTCACGTTCGACGAAGTACGGAAAGCCTGTGGGGGGTTACCGGACGTTCGGCATCTGAATGCCTGGACCTGCTCAAAGCGCCCATTATACTGGAAATTCACAAGGTGCTAAACGCAAAAGAAATGTGGGTTCGGTACCTACTTACTCCGCAGGTCAACGAATATCAATGCAAATTTGCCCGGTTAAGTCTCTTTCAATTTAAATATCAGCCAACCAGAAGTATCGACTGTGTCAGGAACGTCCCCAGCACGTTTCTGGGTCCTGCCTCTGAATACCATACAATCGGCACAAGAATTACGCAGGTGTTTTACTACATCAAGAACAGGTTCGAATTGTTTCGTTTGCTTGTCGCCATACTTTTCGTACTCCTAATCTTACCGGCTTTGTTCATCTACCGATACATCAGCGATAAGTGCACGCGTACGTGGTGGAGCTCCAGAAAAGCCCAAGTGTCGAAACACGACCACGGAGAACAACAAACTGATAGCTATTGCAGAACAACCGGATCAGCGAGGTACAAAGGAATCTACGTTTGCTATAGACGTAAGTCAGCTAGGTGCATCCAGAAAGTTGGACCAAACGACAGAAAGATCGGAAAGGAAGGTGAAAATTGGACCCGCGCAGCCTAAGTCTGCGGTATCTAGATTTTAATGATCGGTAAGCTGCTTGTTCGAGCTTTGCTAGACGTATTCATCACTGCACATGAAAATGTTGAGTGTCAGCCTGAGATTGAGTGCAATCAATGTGAGCGCACCTCGAGGCACCAACTGCGACCAGTCCCCAAACAAGCGCCGCCCATATGAGCGTTATTATACACTCCTGTGCATCAATCTTTCTATTGCCAAAACGCGCAGAAGTAGCTAGTAAGAGCTGGTATACCTGGATGATGCCCATAACATCGACATTGGACTGGCAGCTTGCCGCGGTCCCGGTGCTGGTGAGTAGACTTGACGATATTTTATGAGCACACTGATACTGTACATGTGAATCAACTCAGATGATGCGGATGTAGATCCTAGCTGCATGCCATGATGACGGGCTGCGCCGTCTCGTTGTGATTTTTATTGGCAAGCATACGTGTCTAACGTACTCGACGATTCGAGTGACGACTGTTCAATGGATTCATAGGCAGGCAGTGTCATGCGACAGCCGTTCGTGCAGCCGGGCATGGCTGACCAGCGCGTCGCAGATATTGATTGTAATTAAGGACTGTGCTCACGAATGCTGAACGACAGCTGCACTGGCCCACTCTAATATGAGATCGTGCCAAAGACGAACATCCAGCAGTAATAGTGGGCTGATTGCGGTCTTGCGACCCTCGTTGATTATTCGACGCCGGTAGCCATTACGCTCCTGCTCAGACTCGAATAGCGTATGCACTGGTATTGAAGATCTCATCCTTGGTTCTCTTTCTTTCTTCTACAGCAAAGTTACGGATCTAGTCAGCTTGTAGTAACCGTTTGCGGACCGTTCTGTCCCAGATTCTCAATACTGAATCTAATACGATTGAAGCTACTGTAAGACCGTGCCGGATACGAGACGCAATTCTATGCTTTTTATATCCTTTCTCTTCCCAACTTTCAGCCCGGAACGGAAAGTACCGGCGTCCCGCCAAGAACCTACTTGCGAACACGTTGAAATGCATCGTGTGAGTGCAGGTTCTTCCAATCAGAAAGCTCGAAGTACTTCGCAGTCGGAATGAACCCTGCATATATCGCCCGGCATCGTATGTTTGCAGATGGCCGGCTCCGATATTTTTGCTGCTCTCAAAATCTCTCCGCTCAGTCCTTCCTGATTTTGAGGTTCTTGCATTCTTGGAAGTCAGGGTCTCTTTTGAAGCAGGCATGTACACATTGAGCGGCACTTGAACGACCCTTGAGACACTCGAATATTTGCACATCACGAGTAAGACTTTCAAATACACGCTCGGCAAAAGTGCAGCATCTGCTCAGAGGATGTCGCTGAAAGATTCAAGCGCTTGGTGGGTTTGGTGGGGCGAGCTGATATGGTTCAAATCTCCAACGGAGGACCGTCCGCTTGATCTCCGGCTTTGTGAGAATAAGGGCGCTACGCACTTCAGCAACGAGGCTATGCACACGCTCCGAAGCGGGAGCTCTCAGGCGCGCCGGGGCGTTTGCAGTAAGTGCGCGACGACGGTCCGATTGCAGATGAGCAGACGTGCAAGATACACTTGCAGGATGAGTGCGCGACCCGATCGAACAAGCGACGAAAAGTTACATGATTACAAAGGGAGAAAAGAAACGGGGCCACAAAGGGACCCACGTTCCTGGATTGTTTTCCTGCTTCGAGCCGTCCTATGTCCAGGACCTTCAGGAGAAATTCAAACATACGGTGATTGACAACTGGAACGGCGCTTGAATCTGAACCAGGCTTTTATCGCTCCGGTTCCTTGACCCCCCCAAGCGGGAAATTGTGAAGAAGACAACCCTGGGCTCTCGCCAAGGGCGCTAGCCCGCGCGGTGCGCGCCGAAGCGCGTTCCCGAGCGCGCAGCTGCGCGCGCTTCTCCGCGTTCTGGGTCAGCCGAGGGGCGCGAAGGAGAAATCGCGCACAGCACTGACAGTCGCAGGGACGCGCGCGGGCTTTAAAGTGGCCTGCCAAGTTTGGCGCGGCCGCGATCTCTCCCGCTCAGACTGAGGGTATGACTGAGCGGTGCAATCAGAAGGTCCACATGTGATCAAAGACCAGCCGAACCGCGCAGTAACACTCAGGAAACTAGTGCGCAATTGTTGCCTCGCTTCTCCATCGAGAAAGCGTCGTGCTCCTAGGATCGTGCAACCATATTGGCGGCATGCAGGAGCTGAAATTTCATTTGCAAAGGGCGCTTTGCCGGAAGAACGGTACGGTAAGCGTCGAGAGCCAAGAGGTCACGATTGAAAATTCTGCACAAAGGCAGGAAGAAAAGATCGATATCGTCACAGAGTCCGGTGGATTTAGCAATTTGTAGAATCGAGAAAGAACGCGGAAACCATGCCGACCCAATCTTAGCGGCTCAGAAAAC